CGATAAATACAACATTTATCGCTAAGAGTCGCATAAACAAAAAAAAGCTCCATTTCAATACTTGCAATACATTTTCGAAGAAGTATATTCAAGAAATTTGTAATACAATTCACATAACAAAGTAAACAATGCATTAACTAACCTGCACCGTTCACTTTCATCGGTACGCTGAACATTGGAAAGAGATCCTAAACAAAAACGACCGGGAGCAGATGGATCAACTCCTCCATCAATGTAGACCGCAGGTGCACTTACAGAAAATGTTTCACCAACTTTTGTATTGAACTCATAATAAGAAATGACGCACCAATTTGCCGGTTCTTGAACAAAAACAGATCAATAACGAATGAAAAGTGGCTGTAATTATCAGTTTTCCATCAATGAGAAGCTGTTGTAATGGATACTTCTAAATTTGATTAGTATATGATTATAAAAAACAGCAAATAAAATTGGAATCCTTACGTGGACTCAGCGACATAGGTTCCGTTTTGTCACGAACTCTAGATTCTACGTGATGCTGAATTTCCTCTAAATAACAATTTGAAATCAGTTTTAGGTGATCTATACTGACCAAACACTGATAGGAACTTACTTTAGTTGGTTCCTACAGATTCCACTTCCAGAAAAAAAAAATTATAGCCCCACTAATCATAATATAGAAGGAAATTTTCAGTAAAAACATCCAAAAAACTTCTAAAAACAAAATATAATATAGCAATCTTATATTAAACATTACTGACTAAAGAACAGTCACGGGAGCTAAATATAAAAAAGTGTTATGATGTCACTCACGCGAGTAAGTGAATGCTGATGAGGAAGATACTTGTAAGGATGGATTTAACGCCATAGTAGGAAAACTGTTTTGTGAATGCATGGAGCTAGATGAAAGTGGAATTGGATTTATCACTGCTGCTATAAAAACAGAGACCTGTCATGAAATTTCAAATCATAAGCAGTGGAAAGTTAGAATGAAACAAAATACAATTTTACGTTATGAAAATAAATTGAACCGGACTTACGAATCTCTGATGGGATTGTGACTGCTGCAACAACTGCTTTTTGCTCACCGTTATTCCAAGTAGATTGATTTGGTAACATACACACATTGGAGCCGTTAAATAGATCCTGCTCACTAGCAGACAATTTCCTTGTCTCTGCAATAATCTGCAGTGTAAATGAATTCCAACAGTGAATCAATTAACATCATCTAATACAATGAAACAGAACAAATAATTTCTTTGCAACAACACCTGTTTTGACAACATTAGAAGTACGCAATGTTGACGCATATGCAAGTGTCTTTGTAGTCCAGCCGTCATTATCATTAAGCGCTGAGTTCCTGTAATATTATATTTGATTTAATCTCCAGTCAAAATGCCAAACACGGCGCGTTAAGCCATATCAACTGCACTGAATTGTATAAAAACTTCACAGAGTTTCGATAAGTAATTATAAAATTTTATTGATATCTAGCATTCCGCAGGAATCGCCACTTCGTGATTAGAATAGAGATTCTGTACTAAGATTGGTAAACCATACATATTAAATAAATATATATTCTCACTTAAACCGAAATTGACATTAATATATTAAAAGGAAAAAAAAAACGCCTACAGATTGTCATAAAATTTAAAAAATTACTTTGACAGATCATCGCTAGTTCCTGTACTTCCTGGAGACAACGTGTTTGAATCGTCTTGCGATGCACAACGATGTTCAATTTTTAAATTTGACAAATCAATAGTGCCGATACCTGGTGGAACAACACGTTCGTAGTGGTATGGATTAACGCAAACCTACAACACGAACTCATCAACTATGATTTGGAAAGAAATTTTGAAGGAAAAAAATCAATGTTCGCTTTTAGATATTTGGATACATTAAATGCCAAAAAATCTTACAAGGTCACATTTCAGGTCAAATGCACATTGACAAATTGGTAAGTGTTTCAGTTCATTTTTATGTAAATCAGGCCATCTCCAAATACGTGCATAAACGACGTGCGGAAAACCTTTTCTTCCAGCTACCTACAAGAAATAAGGAAATTTGAATTAGTTAAATTCCTTATGTTACTGATTATAAATTTTGATTTTTAGCCACATAAGATGAAAGAGGAAAACAAAAAATGACTATAACATAACAGATTCATATTTAATACTTTCCTGTCAGATTATAATAAAACATTGAAAAGGAAAAGCGATGAGAAACGGACACAAAGCACTGAAATAAAAAAAGATACATCTACAGCAAACCAAATTATCATATAAAACCAAGACTAACTAGATGAATGGAACGAAAACTTTAATTTTGTTACCTGTAGTCGTCCATCCAAAGTACGCTGAATCGTGATACATTTCGGAGAAATCTTCCCATGTGATGTTATAGTGGTGATTAGTGCATCTAATTCATCATGCTTATCCTTCAATTTCTTAATCAGACTTTCAATAGCTTTGCGACTGAACTCCTCATCTCGTCCCTAAAAAGTACACACTATAATTGGTTGTGATGCTGAACTTCATATATTCTTCCATATTCAATTTTACGCATAGCTTAATTACAATCGAGAAAACCTGGTTTAATCAATTTATACACCATCAACAACAAATGAGACAAAGACATAATTTTTTCCTTGGAATATGTCTAAAAAAAAAGTGAAAATACTCAGAGATTCAGAAATAACTACTTCCAGATAGTTTCGAAATAGTAATGTAACTACCGTATGATACATCATCAGATACTGTGTGATTGTAGAGCATGCGTCAGAACTTGTCGGACGTTGTGCAGATTGTGTAACTTGTTGCAACTGCGACCTGATTTGGCTATTTGGACTAAGCAACTGTGTACTAGTACTTGACGATTGCGATCGAGTTTGGCTACTTGGACTACAACGAAATTGTGGAAGAACTGACGCACCCACATCAGCACCACTAACCGCACCCACATGTTTCGTTGGCAAACCTAGGGTTGATACCGGACTGAAGTTCGATGACATCACATCTGAAAAATAAAACTGTTATGACAGTAATAACCTATAACAATAAATACGTTGTCACCAAGCAAAATAACTCGTCTCTTGCAAACCATAAAGAACTGACAGCAGAAAATCAGTGATAGTACTGATGAAATGAGTAAACCGCATACTCGACTTTTTGTATCCTGAATTATTTTCTTCGAAACAGGAAAAAAAAAAAAAACGTGGAAAGCACGCACCTATCTACATCCTGGACGAACACATACTTTCAGATGCGAGAACGAAAGATTCACTGCAGTGACCAAGCTGTCTATAACTAAAAATATACATTTTAATGTAATGGCACTGCGAGGACACAATGAAATCGGAACTTACCTCATTTATCGTAAATTATAGCATGCTAAAACGTAAACACGGAGATCTTGTACTCACACAGGGAGGGAAAATATTCGAGAGTTTTCAATGCTGTTGCTTGCGCCCATTTTTTATTTGGTAAACTTATTGCATATCCACTTATATACCCTCATTTCCAACACCCAGATGTACGAGAAAATCTACGCCACCCCACCAGTGGCTGAACGCTCACTTAACAATTTTCCACAAACAACGTCCATCCGTGATACTCCACCACAAAAGGTTTAAGGCACTTTTTTAGCGAGTGCTCTTTTTTGTGCGGTATTGAATTTTGGGTTGAGTGTATCGTAGGCAGCACTACTTACGTTAAGGAAGAGGAGGAATTATTTTTTTGCTGCAGCTTTTTCAATACTTATGCAGTGAACTTGGAAGTCAGGAAAAGAGTCGGGACTGAATTTCTTTGCACTTTATTTGGTTATGATTTATTTGATTAACAGTTATCTTCCTATAAGTAAGAGTTATGGAATTGAATGTGCTAAGCTGTTTGAACGTTGCAAAGTCCGCAGAAATATCACTTATCTTTTCTTATCCCAAAGTATTTAGGAACTAATTTTATTCCGCCATTTGGTTTATGAAAATGAATGCAAAATATGTCGCTTATTTATTCATTTTCATTGTTGCGGATTTTAACATCGCGAAGCATTAAATAAATGTTAATAATGCTTAATATATCAATCCACTGATGTCTTTTACAAATCATCGTAATCGTTTAACTGACCTTTGATCCTATATCAATTCAGGTACTATGAGCACCCATCATGTAATGTCTATTGTAACCCATTATAGTAGCCACCATCATAATGTCTAGACAACCCATTGTACTTTCCTTTGTGATATTCATTGTAACTTATTATTAAAGTAACTCATTATCATGTTTAGACAATTTATCCTTTGTACAAAAATGTCTGATTATAAACCACTCCCACATCTTAATATATATAATGTTAGATATAATTGCTATATAAGGATCACCCTTGTTGAAAGTTTCAGTATGTGTATTTTTTACTAAGAGTTCAATTTCAATTATTCTTTATCAACGTATTGTGCTATTCTTCTGCTAATAAAAAAATTGGTTTATTTCTCTGTTTACCCCACATATTTACACCTACATCCAACCAATCTCCCTGCGACCAAAAACCTCTCCCAAAATTAATAATTAAACTATCAAATCTTCCACGACAATCATTTCTTTGTTCTCTTATGATTTCGTAGATATGCGATGTGCTTAGAATACGAAATATTGAGATGAACAAATTTATTACAGCTTAGTGGATTTAAAGAGTTTTTCAAACTTTTCTGCTTCTCTTCATATAGCGAGCACTACTTAAATCATTTATGGATAGCTCAGTATACACTGAAGGCATTCGGCTTTGAATATCGACTTCCCTATACGATGATTTTCTGCTGCCCGTGCGTGGTGGACATGAGCAGTATTGTGCATCTTCACTTGGCATACCTAGATCTACCTGCTGCTCCGTTTTGCCCAAGAGGACCTCGTATTCCTGCTGGATCTTGCGATCCTGTTTCACCTAAACATTGATTTAGTAGTTTAGCACACATGCCTGTCATTTCATTCCTTTGTGAATGTTATAAATAACAAACCATCCTTTCCTCTCTATCCTGCTCGTCCGCGATACCCTTCGAGACCTCTTATTCCAAATGAACCTGGCTCGCCTTTTTTCCCAGGTAGACCTTTTTGACCACATGTCCCATTTAATCCAACGGATCCTGGCTCACCAGATTTACCGCGTGCACCCATTTCTCCAGTTACTCCAGGAACACCTGCAGCTGAATCCCACATTTTTCTTAATCCCATTAAATTTCTAGCATGAAATTAACTAGAGACATGTTTCACCTGCATAACCAGTTCTTCCTGGTTCACCAATACGTCCTGGTCCTGAAGTGCCTTCTTGTCCCTGTAGGCTAGGAGAACCTTGCTGTCCTCGGGAACATAGTCGACAGTTGCTGCTCTACAATCATATAAACTTTCAGGGATATGTTTGTGAACAGCAGATAATAATTCTATTTAATAGATTAGGAACATCTTCATGGGTATCACATAATAATAAAAGGTTACATAATTGGCTGTGACTGGAATGGCATTTCCAGATAGTCCTAGAGTTCCAGATATTCCTGGTTTACCAGGCATTTCATCTTCGCCCTGTAAATTTTGCATGAAAGAAATGCACGAGAAGAGACTGAAATTATAGTAGTGAAATTATTGGACTGGAAAACAAAGCTTTCTGATAATCACTAAAGAGGACTCATTTTTTAATACTTCTTACTAACAGTTTGGATAACTAACAGGTTTTCCTGGCAGTCCTGGTGAAGAACAGGGATTCGATCTTTGACATTCTGAAATTCTTATCAGATGCGAGGACTGAAGAAAATAATCTTGATGAGTTTATACTTATTTTTTGTACTTCATTGAATTAGTATAAATCCTGTAATTTGGAAAATGAGAACTATATAATCATATGTAAAAATGATGTATCGCAGATTGATTGTTGTGCAGAATTTTCCGGTTTGGAATATTCGTTATGGAATGGATTAACGTTTTGTTCCGAATCATACTGCAGTTGATTATGTCTTATGTTAAAGATGACGAGGTTAAATAGATACCCATGATAATAAAATTTTTTTGACGGTGAGATGAATGGCAGGCAGTTGTTTCAATAATGGGAACATTTTATTCTGAAGGGGTCATTGAGAAATGTAATGGACTTGAAAAGTGAACTTACTAATCGTTTAAAATGAAGAACTACCTGTCTTTTTTCTCTGTTTAGTACGCGCGTTTCAAACAGTTGTTCCTAAGCTTCATTCGCAATCATACGGAATTCATCAGAGTTCAGTTTCAACCAAAGTACTTTTTCGTGCTTTTTTAATTTCAGATTAAATGAAGGGAATTCAAGTAATAATTTGCAAACCACATTTTTCAGTCACAATAAACAATCTATTTTTTGAAGTGCAAAACCTTTCATACAAAATCTTTGAGATGAAATTTTTTTTTCAATCAAATGGAAACGAACAATGTGATCTTACTATTTGATGACTTTTGCAACTGTAACAAATTTTCTATGAGCTGAGTGCAGGAAACAGTGAAGACTATATGACATAATAACGAATTTACCCTCTCGTTCATTTCGGTTATTTTCATGATAATCAGCGGAATATACAAGAATGCCACGATAATAGTTCCAACTGAAACAATGGTAGCGGTGAGGCCGGAAATCCGTGTGGCAAACATATTGCTGCTATTAGGTCGTTTCGGTGCACTGATCTGGAAAGTGCGATGTTTCATAGAGAGAGGATCTGTTGACAAAATGGGATGTAGTCACACATAGACACACGTTGAAATTATAATGAAATTGTAATTGAAATTATAATGAAAATGATAAATCCAAATATGATTGAGGTCGTTGTTGATAGAGAAAAAAATTAAAGCCTTTTAATGCGATATTTATGAAATTCATTGAACAGGGTCGGAGGAAGAGGAAAAAATGAGCACATAAGGTTGATACTGCGTACATCACTCTGAAGAACTACAATTTCTGTATGAAAATTCGCGTTTTAAATAGAAATCTGCAATTGAAAACCAGTCATCTTTTAGAAATAGAATTGTCTCTATATGATTCGTCTGCACTTTCATTCCTGCAACATACTTGGCCAATTTTATTGTAAGTGAGTAGCTTCAATAAACAATGCAAAATTTATTTCCATTTAATTTTCTACTGGTATCATCTTTCAGTAATGCAGAGATTTATTAATTTTTTCATCCCTTGATTTCATCAGAAAATAATGAAATAAAATAATTATAGGATAAGCGCGTTCTTTGTCATCTCTTATGTATTTATATTTACGTATTCGATAAACTATTTCCTAGTTTCATGCACCCAAAATTAATGACCTTATATATACGCTTGATCTTGACTCGTTAAAGTTTTTACAAATAGAAATTTACTGGCTATGCCGCTTCTGCTTTTCGATCCAAATTTGCTTGTAAGAATTTTAATCTCACTTGATTGTATACGCTTGAAACATTCCATTTTCCTAAGAATCGAAATTAATAGCATAAAAGCAAGAATTGTGATATGGAATATTGCACATGAAATCTTTTACAAGGATTATAATCCTGCAATTTCAAGGAACTAGTTTTAAATCATGAAATATAGAATAATTTTGATCTAACAATGCGGTTGACATCCAATACACTGAATCGTCGTAAAACGGAGGAACAATACTAATTTATCAGCTTATGAGACTAAGATTCTTCATAGAGTATGAAAAAGTTTGTTAAACTGATGATGCAACCACACTACTCTTAGGCTGTGAAATACAGTTAAATGTTGTTCTGATGGCAAACACTAATCAGTTATTTCTTGATTTTTTTTTTGATGACTTAATTATCATTTTAAACCTTTCTGTGATAAATCCAAGATCTTAAAATTCATGCTTCTCCACACTTCTTTTTTTCGCTTTCCTCATCAATAAAAAGTGTTGGTAAAAGTTCAGCTCTAATTGTCGTACAAGCTCTTAATAAATGACTTTAATAACCTAATAATTTGATGTATTTCATCTGTCGGCTACAACTTACTACTTTTGATGATCTACAAATGAACTTGCGAGATGCAAATGAATCAAATCTATTTGGCCGTAGGCGATTCACAAAAAGAGATATTAAATTTCTTGGGGTACAAATACCCCAAGAATAATGTGAATATATTAATACAGTTCTGTAGATTTACATCTGACGCGTGCTCGTTTTGAATGGAACTAGACCTGAAATTGCTGCGAGTGAGGTATTCGTCTAAAAGGAGGCTATTAAAGTGGCTATGAAAATAAATCCCATTTAGATTTCATTAATAAATAGATGATAAATCTCTGAGTAGCTCCAAGCATAATTACAATAGTTTATTTAATTTAATAGAAATATATTGATTTAAAGATTGAGAAAGATTTGGTTTGTTGTAAATTGTAAATTAAAAAAAGTACAGCCACTTAACGAATTGAACGGCTTTGTAATATGCATAAAGGGAATGTTTATCATTTTAGTATTTTCAGTTGTATGCATTAGTCCCACTTAAATTTAAATTCGATAGCTAGTAGTAGAAATCAAAAATTCATTAATCCCCATTTCAATAAAATTCAACGTTATGGAGAATGACCTGAATTCTATGGCAATTCGAAATTAAAAAAGTGCTCTTTAGTCATGCTATTATCTATAAGAAACAAATAGACATAGTAGTAACACTGTTAAGTTGTGCATGGTGAGTCAAGTAGGATGAATCTGAAAGGGACCCTGGTTTCCTCATCGTTCTATTGTTTTGTGATGTATTTGGAAGGATTTTGGCTATCCATAGTGTGAACAGCATATTCGAAAATGCTCGAAACAAACCAAATTACTGAGGATTTATAGGAAATAAATGATGCTTTACTTACACTTACACTATGAATAGCATAGAAAATTTATTTTAGATCACTACATAAGATTTAAATTACACATATGATAACACGTGCCGAAGAAGGATAGCGGTCGAAAGTCAATGTCGCGCCAAATAGCTCTCAACATTGCTGATGAAAACATCCTATAAGCGTTTTTCATATCTTATTTCAATGCTTTATTAGCTAATGATATTAAAATGTTTGGTTAATATATGGATACATCTTTTTTCTCCACCTATTGGACTATTTGCAAGTCAAGAATTAAAAGCCCAAGACTAATTCATAAATATTATAAGGATAAAAATCAATAATTGGCTTATCGTTTTATCTACGTTTTCACTTATGGTATCAAATTAATTTTGGGAAAGATTCCAAGTATAAAAAGCTGAGGATTCTTGAGTTGTGGAAGTTAATTTTCAATTCTGGTTAAGCCAATTAACTGAATATTGCTTTTCTACTTTCGTACCAATTCTCAAAAATTGTTTTCAATTAAAATTTTGTGGTTTTAATAATAAATTTTAGTACCAAAAATTTTCATGAAATTTATTTTGTACCCTTTTGAAAAAAAAATATCGGTTTAAAATCTAAAAAAACCACTCTTTTCTAAAAAAGGATATAGTAGCATCAGAATTAGTAGCAACTTTTACATAAAATAAAATCTGTGGTTTCCTAAAAGTGCTGAAACCGAAATCAATAAGAAATGGAATTTTTTATTTGAAAAAATTATTCTGAGCATTTGTAAATCAGTTTCATAAGTTGATTAAGCTGGTGTTGTCTTTGTTGTCAAAACAAGGACTCAGTGAATTGAAAGCTCACTTAGCAAGCCAACAATCGGTGTCCGCTGAGGAAATGGAAGTTGCTTCATAAATCATCCCTTGCCCACATTACATTCTTATTTGCCTCAAAGAAAAATGCTGCCAATTATTTTGAATTCTTCTGGCTTATCGTTGTCTATTTTTTTTTTCTTTTTTTTAATATGACATGAACTGAATGAAATAACCTTAAAAGTACAATTCTTTGTAAGCAAATTCTTAACTGTTATATAAATATAATTCAGGTGCTGAGCATTGTTGTGAAATTTAACTAAAATAACTTAAATATTAAGTGGGAACAATAAAATCACTTGAATTGGTTTAACATTGTTATATTAATTCGTCTAATTTTAAAATTTTTACCACTTTACAGTGAGATGCAAAATTCTTCTATAAAATTTCTAAATAGCTGAGAAATAATTTAAGATTTGTAATGTAATACGCGAATTGAAAAGAGTTCAAATACTGAAGAGTTTCCAATTTATCTGGGTATCAGTATCCATTCATGCATTTAAATAAAGCAATGAGTCTTAGAATGCAAGCGCACTAGCTCTTATTTATTGGTTATAACCGAAGATGCACAATACATGTCACTACGTATCTCGAAACTTATATGCATTGAGTTTATTGGCATTTGAAGTATTCTCTGGAGTAAAAAGCATTCATAAATTTGGCAGTCAAGAGATGGCTAACAATGATTGTACCGCATACATATTGTACACTTTCGCAATCTCTTTAGTTTCTTTTTATTTTTCATGGCTTTTTAAGAAGCATTCTGATAAGCTTGAAGATTTCATATAGCTAGGATAATTTCAATGATATCCTGCTTTTCATACATTACAGTGGAAAATAAAATTTAGAAATTTATAGAATTTACTAATATTTGGACAAGATTTGTATTTTTACTGTATAATTGTCTGCTGTAATTTTCAAGAGCTGAAATGTCTAAAAACTGCTGGTGAGTCATTTCTTTTATCTTTTATGTAAATTCATTCTGTTATGTTTTTGCAAACCCTTTTACATTTGAAAGTAGTGGATTGAAATCATCATATTTATGATCTAGATTGTGTGTGTGTGTATGTGACGTTCAGTCACTTGGAGATTTATTGACCAAAGTTGTTTTGTCTTGAGTTCGCATCATTAATGCAATTAGTTTGGTTTGAAATGTTGCTCACTTCACATTTCGAATAAAATGTACATTGGAGACTAACTATATTCATCTTCTTTTTTTAGTCTTGAAGCGCATGCTTTTTTTCACTTTTGAAATACTGACAAATCAATTTAACATACAATTACAAGAAAAAAAGAATAACTAATGAAAAAATAACAGTGAGACACCATAATTTTCAAAAAAACCACTTAATAGAACCACTTGAAAAATGAGCATAATAAATTGTCAAATTAAAAGGAAATTCATAATGTCGGTAATGAACAAGAAGCTTAAATTTTTGATCGTCTTATTTTTATTGTTAAATTTACCCGTTTTCCAATATATATATGTATGTATTGTTTGCTTTGAGTTAAATATTTTTCCAATTGAATCAAACTGATTAAATCAAAAATTGATCACATAAGATACTTATCTGATCCGTCCAATAAAAGAAAAGGATGTAGACAAAATTTTCAGAAAAAAAACTGGCTTTGACAGGAAGTAGTTAATCTTGCCGGAAATTTAGAAGATTGTTAGCTAACTTGAAATTATTGTTCTTATTTCCGCTTTAATGTTTTTGAGTACAACTATAAATGCTCAAGTGACTTAAAGCTTGTTTCAATTACTTATATGAAAGGGTTAAAGACCGAAAAAGATGTTCTTCCTTTCTCCCTCTCCCCTACTGACTGCTCTAAAAAATATTAGACAAAATTTTAAACAAACTCATTTTATTTCTTCTTAACAACGCTTGCATAAACAGAAGCTATCACACTTTTTATTATTTCATATTCAATTATTATTTCAATTAAAGTTACTCCACAACCATGTAGAATTATATGCATTCATTATACCATTTTCAATTGGAATTTGCTTTTTTTATATGTTATTACTTTTTATTTCCTTGCATAATGTAATTTTAGTACTTTCGTTAGGAAATTTTTATAAATTAAGGTACATAGTTAATTGTATTATAAGCCTGAATCCTTTGCATTTATTTTTGTCACTCTGTTGATTTTTCACGATATAACAAACTTTTCTTTAATTTCAAAAACTAATAGCTCACTGCATTCTGATTTACTCAAAAAATTATTCAGGATTCCTGCTTAGGATTGCAGTCGTCGAAACAGTGTTTTTCTCACCTTACAACATGCCGTTTTGTAACCCCTGCAAAGGATATATTTGAAGTTGTTAAATATATCATAATAAACACAATGCGTTTTACTACTTTCATGTGGATTTACCGGACTGGTTATAAGTTAGTACGACATGTGTGTTCCACAGTAAGCCGAATGCATATTAATCTGAAGAATTCTACAATTTTTCAATATAGGATAAAAACCGAAAAACGGTCAAGTGATTTTCATTAGTTTGGAAAATTTATAGTACCGCAATCCAAATATTGATTATGGATTTATCACAATTTATTGTTCTCAACATCAATAGTGGACATCAATTATTCTGAAATTCGGCTTTGTCGGCCTCTTCATGCTCCTCGAATATGTCATCACGCAGAACTTCTTACAAATTATTGCAGTGCAAAGTCAGTTCATTTCCGCCTGTCCCAGGTTTAAAATCTGAACATAGGATGTGCAAAAACATCCGTTATTTTGTATCAAAACAAAAAAGAAAATAAGCAAGATAAGTAGCTTACTTCGCTAAAAAAATCGGGATTTCTTTAAAATTAATTTCCAGAAGAATTTACAGTAAGTCATGGTGTTACATCAAAGGCGCGAATCGGATCGAAACAGAATGAAGTTCTGTTTGATACCTTTGGAAAATCGAATATGTTAGCTAATGGGCAAAGTATTGGCAACCAAGACTATTCTGATGAAAGAAAGGCTGCAAATGCGCATACGCGTCTTTTGAATCAGATTAAGACTGCAGCACGACCTTTCCAACGACCTGCTCTAAACTTTCACACTCCCACCGAAATTCATGTCCGAGCTGCACTGTATCAAATTTTTGACTTAGTTCGTCTTTTATTACCTAAAACTTCATCAAGGACCCATTAAAATAATTTATATAGAAAAGCTGGAAATGGTGACAGCATGAATTAGAAAAATAAAGCAACTTAAGGAATTTATAAATATGCGTACTTATGAAACGACGCTTTTAAAAACAATTCATTTTTTCAAAGAAAATAATCTTAGTGTTTGAAAACTATTTGTACTAGTAATTCAGGATTATCGAAACAATATAGTGACAATATCAGGCTATTTTCATCTGTGGTGGATTGATCCTTCATTAAGATGGAATGCTAGTGAATTTAATAATATAACAAGAACATTCATACCATCAAAATGGTTCTGGAAACCTGAGCTGTACTTGTATCACAGGTATATCTTGACTACCTGTTTCAGTGCTAAAAGGATTTTAAAAACCTTTTCCCCAAAGGTTTGAAAGAATGGATCTCGTAAGTACAAAAAATACTGATTAAAACATTGCGTCTGCCGGGTAAACTTCAAACGGCATTTACAGACCTATAGGACAGACCGAGTATTTTAAAACGTGACAGTCTCGCTTCCTTACATCATCGGTTATATCATGGAAGACTGTGCAAACACAGTGTTCTGCAAGAAATGGATGAACAAAAATAACCATGAGAGAAGAATAGACAAACACTTCGATTTAATTAGTAATACTAGTATGGGAAATGTAGAAAGTTGAAAGTAAAAACGAAAAAATGGACTAAAATTTTTTAAACCGATATTTATTTAAAAAGATGGAGAGAAATATTAGGGATATCTCGGATTTTGAGAATGAGAGATCTGAGTAAATCTCTTAAATGATGTTAGTGATCTCACATCACACATATTGCAAAACTGATAATTTTCAGCGCACAAGATAGAGTTATGGATTATGCGCCAGATGCAGTAGCAGAAATTAGTGCCAATGGTCGTTTGCGTGTTTTCATTCCCATTACTGTGCGTACCCTATGTCCCATCAATGTGAAACATTTCCCCTTCGATATACAGAATTGTACATTTGCGGCAAGTCGATTTCAAATTTGATTAAAAGTTAAGGATTGGAAGAATAAAATAATAGAAGAACATATCAAATCAGTTACCATGCGAAATGAACAACATATTTGTGGGACTCATTCTTCTTTTTTTAATAAACTTAAATAGAAATGGCTGTATTTGTCAAAGAACATACTTAAGTTTTAAACTTAATCAGTATTCCCTTTTTGCGGTAATGGAAGAAGTTTCTCTTCAACCGCTGCAACTACACAGTGTATTTCATATATGAAATAAGCACTCATTCTTTTTGTTGCATTTATGCAAAACTATAACTCAGTCTTTGGATTTTGTATGATGGGGATTTATGGCGATTTATTAATTAAATGAATATATTTTCACCTCTACTCATCAATTCTAGAGTATTTCAGAAGTAGCAAAATAGTTTCTCATTTTAGTAATGAAGATTATTTGTACGATCATTCGTTATTTTGGACTGAGGTTATGGCAGTCATTACTGTGAATTTCATCAAAATATAAAGATGAAATCAGTAAGATTGAAATATAAACTTGGTGTTGCTCGATTAATTATTTGCTTATTCCGATCGTCTCCAGTTGTTTTCCATACTTCTTGATATTGCATATATCACTACTGCAATAAATATTACCTACTTTTCTTAGGACCCTAGAACTTTAGATAGTGCTTCATAATACTTTCTTGCTGTTTTTAATCAATTCCATTATCTTGTATATAGCAGTATAGATTAATTTGACATTTGTTCTTACATCTTCGTGCTGGTAATAAAAGTTGGAGCCTAATGAATAGTTCGTAGCTGCAATCAATATTTGTATTCAGTACACGGTAGATACTCCCATTGGTAACTGATCCATGATTAATGAAGGATAAATGAATGGTACAGCCGACATTTGCTAGAAACTTATCATGTTTCAGTCTTATGTTGCTTCATTAAAATAAAGCTTGAGCTATTAAGACTCTTGACTTTTTAATTTAAAGAAAATTTTAGTTTTTGAAATTTATCTGGTCCTAAGGCTGATCGTTTCATATCTTTTTTAATCCTTTTCCAAAGATAATGATTTGATTATTACTCCTACATATCTTATAGTTTTAGCTTCCCTATTTGTTTAATCAAATTGGTTCCGTTACACTAATTTTTTTTTTAATATAAAACAATTATTACGACGAAATATAGATCCATATCGTTATTGTTATCCCAAAACATTTTATTCTATTTATACTAAATCCAACTTCTCTATTCTTTTTTGGCTAAAGCCCTTATCCGTTATTTCACCTTTCCCATAACTTCAGTTAGGAGTGATCCATATCCGTTTCACTTATCTGGCTACAAAAAAGGGTTGACAACTAATGAATTTGCTGACGAAAAGAATCATTTGCAGTGTGGTTCATGGTCATATCAATATGAATATGTAAGTTTGGTTGTTGATCAACAAGAAGTATTCCTCAACGATTTTTACAACAGTCAAGAGTGGCTACTAGAAAATGCTACAATAAGCAATGGTTATATTCTATGATAGTGTTATTTGATTGATGATATTTTTGCACCTCATTATGTTGATAGACTAGATGCCGAATTGTTAGATAAGTCTCAAAGTTATTAAAATTTCAATATTGATTTCTTTTTAAAATAAAGTCAAATCAACTACTTTTTCTGTAACTGCATGACAATTGAAGGCACAGTAGAATATCTTGAACAGGAATCTTTCTCGACTGTTTATATGGTCTTGATTCTTCGACGAGAATCGTTTTATTACGTTTTTAACTTCGTTTTTCCGACTACTTTGGTAAGTCGTCTTGTAAAATGTATTTTTTTCCTTCTTTAATGAGGCATTGTTTCGAGGAATGAACGATTGCTTGTTTTTTCAAATTATCTGGGGAATCGTCTGGAGATTTAGATCTAGTTGTCTGGAAACTCCATTAAATGTTTTTTATCGTTTGATCATGCATTAATCTTATTTTAAAAGAAAATTACTAAATAATTAATGACGGTTTGAAAAAAGCGACAAAATAAAAGGAAATGCTTCACTGTTCCATTTAGGTAAGCATTGTAGCAGTTATTGGTTTTCATGCTCCGATAAATGCTACTGGTAGACACGAAAATAAATTTCGTTTGGGAATCATGACGTTACTAAGTATGTCTGTCATGCTTTTGGTGCTGGTTGATGAAATGAAATTTGTATTGAAATCAGTTCCTGGTCAGAGAGAATCATTCTACAATGTGCCTTTGCTTGGTTTGTTTTTTCATTTACGCAAAAATTTAAGACAATTCAAATGAAGATAATTGTCAGCTTCTGCTACAATATCAATGTTTCAGCAGTGTTTCATATGGTACAGATGCTTATTATAAGTGTCGCTACTTGCACCAGTTCAGTATTTGTTTATTTAGAGAAATATGCCTTACGAAACCAATACATTGAGGTAGTAAATGTTTTCAGCCTTATTCTCTAATATTTGTATTTAATAAAATAATCTTTTGCGCGTTATTTATCCCATTCAGTAGAAGTTTGTATGACCTTTTAATCATAATTAAGGCAATCCCGTGGTGGTTACGATTTTTATCTGCTAAGAGACTGTTTTGCTGTTATGTGCCGAAAAGATTTCGAATAGCAAGCAGTGAAGAGATCAAGCGAAATCAAGATGTTACAACACGTTTTGTCAGTTCAGCTTCTGATAGCTTCACGTTTCGGGATATAATTCCTGCCGAGGCAAGTATTTAATAATGACGAGCAGTAGTTCCTTTCTAAAATAAAATAAGGATGAAGAAACAGCCTTTCTCAATTTCACCTCTCCCATGCTATTTCGCATCATATTGAACATTGCTTTTTGTCAGCCTTTTGTGCTAACAAATAATGGTAAAAGATTGACTTCACAGTCACTAGGGTTTTGACGCTAGATGATGCGATGTGATTTGAAATCTGGTAAATCTAATAAAAGAGATGTTTCAACTAGCTCTAAACTACAGCGGTTATTACTAAGGGAAGGTAAGAAATTTCCCAGCTCAAATGATGGACATTAAGATCTTACTGTCTTACCAAACTTAAATTATCTGGCAGTAAAGCATTCCATCTGAAAAATTTCCTTTATTTTGTATCTAAGTCGGATTAATTTGAGCAGAATGCTCTTGCAGTTTTAGGCCATTTACTTAGAAAACCAAAATTGTCATTTACTTAGAAAACATATCTAGCCCTTCTTATTTTGAATAGAAGGTTCCTAATTTTTTGAAGGTAAACATGACGGAATGTCACCAAGAAACAGCAGTATCGGAAGCAGTTGCCGATGCACCACCACCCATAAATACGCAACGGATCGAATTACTCGTTAATTTGATGAGACAATTTATACAGCTGAAAGAAGAAGCTCAAAGAAAGCATTGCTTACCGGCTTACTGGAAAAGGATTATCAGAAGGTTGGAGAACATTTCGCTTACCACTTATCTTTTCCTTATCATTACCAATGTTGCCATGTTTATGTGCCATGATCTTTGGTACTGATCTTTCGTACGACAATAAAATTTGTCTTTTTGGTCAAGTGCCATTAAATTCCGAGTTTGTTTTTGTGTACTTATCTTATTCATATATTGAGCTACATTAATTCAGCTCTAATTCCAAAGCTATGAATCCTGACTCTTATGGAATGATTTCAAACATTCTGCATTTGAAAATTACATAATTATGTGATCGCTTCAAGAGTGAAACTAATTAAGCTAACACTGACGACATTTATGCATGAGATTGAATCTGATTTATGTCGCTACAAATATCATGTTTAAAACAATGAGAAGTTTGCTAAGGAAAAACTTATAAGCCACCAGAAATCATCCATTGTAATCGAGATTAGCGTGTGTAGTCCAGCACAGGTTTCCCTAACAAATACGCAGCTTTTGTTATTCCAAGATCTCCCTACGTTTTTTATGGCTTGTTTGTCGCAAGTAGTAAATAAGCTTACATTAACTTAAGCTGTCCCGAGATAAGCCGAGACTATTGTTTCAATATTTTTCAAGGTGAAAATTCTTTGTTGGAGACTGCTTCAATCATAGTATGAACCATACAAAGTCGTAACAAGGTTTCCATAGGTGAATCCGAAGAATCATTATCGAGTAAAAAACAAATTTCTTTCTTTCGCTGATACGGAACAATTATACAGCAAGTAGAATGGACCGTGTCGTCTTAAATTTACGGTTCCGCCTGGACTTGAAGCCTGAAATAGCTCTAGTAAATAATGTAAGGTTACCAGAAGTCATATAAAGCATGGTTTCCGTGTATTACTTTTAACTATCACCTTAAAATTAAATGTACGATAAAGCACTATTTTAGAAAGTGTTGCTCCTAACATTAGAAGACTATCAAAAGTTTATCAGCTGACAGAATCATTTAGTATCTTTACAACATTCAAACATCCAGACACTGCGTCTGAAGATTTTCACATCCAAGATTTCAGCAGTAGCAACAACTACTAAGATTTTACACAAATGTCAATTATCTAATATTAAAACAACGACGAAAGTTATACATATAATGGAAATACTGTAGAAATATGGAACAATTTTTATATAACAATATTATCAGGTGTTTGAACACAGTGATGATGTTTGCAAAGAAAAGAAAAATGAATACAGGGATCACCGGATATGAAACAAATGACTGAGGTATGATAGCAATTAGATATTCAGTTATAAATGTTATATATACATATCTCTTCCATCGGCAACAGAATTCACAAGCTGATAAGCACAAATTACGACTTCATACGTGAAAAAAAGTTTACCACCGAGACCAGGAAACTGGCAAGACTCGATGATTACAGAGATTTGCAATAAAAAAAAATGCAGTCTGAAATAATATATCAGAGCTGAAGGCATTGGCGTTTAATTTCAGTGTCTTAAATTGAAAAAAAAAAAACAAGTTAGAAATACTTCAGGAACATGAGTAAATTTGAAAGTATTATCCGATAAGGTTAAGAGCGCAAAACTACCAATTCATCTTCTCTTCATGGTGACGTTAACGCCAGCAACATGACAAATTGAAATTCAACGAGATTTAACAGTGGCACCGCATCTTAACAGGCTTATGAAAACATTGGAGCGAAGTTCTTCATCGTGTCGTTCTGATTCACAGCGCAATCTTTCCAGCGGCGTCTCACCACATATGTTTTCTTTATTTGCCAATTTTGTAATCGTTTCCTCATCTACACACGACTTGAACATCTAATTGAATCGGTAAATGTATTTATAAACCATTAGTATAATGGAACTATCTCAGTGCTTATAGGCTGAAGAAATACGGTCAACTCAAATGTTTTCAAATATTAAAAGAATGTTTAAATTCCCTTCATACTTATTAAATAACAGTTATCGTTCCAGATAGGTTCAAATAGGTCTTTTTTATGTATTGAGAACTAGAGAAACCAGACAGATTGAAAAATGCAAAGTACCTCAATAAGATCAGCATCTAGACTGTTTACTGCATAATGAAGAATATTGTTGCCGCATAAATCCTAAAAATAAGTAATGCTGTAACAGCATTTGATTAATAAAAGTGATAAAAAGAGAACCTACCGACCGCGTGATGAAAAAGTGCTTGCCGGCTTAATGATTACCATTAGATCTTAATTCTAATCAAGGAACTTAGATCTGTAAGTGTAAAGGCAACAGATCAGAACTCGTGGGTAAAAGAGCGTATTCAATCCAACTTTTTAAAGGGAAGGAATAAAGTTTTGCTTATTGTTTTATAGAAAAGAGGTTTGAAATTTGCGCATACTGTGTTCATAGGGTTAGCTCCATATCTCAAAAGACACAGGATCGTTAAACTGTTATCAACACACGGCTCAGTCTTTCTCGTGCGTATACCATGCTTCTTAACTGCACATAAAAGTGGAGTTTGTCCCATTCCATTTGGCATGTTAATATCAGCCTTCCCACTAGCGCACAGAATCTAAAATATGACGTCGTATCTTCGAAATTATGAAGCAGCTATAATAGCTTCATAATGATCGAAATGAGCCATAAAATAAAAGCTAAGATCAGGAATCAATATCCGTTTGAAATGTATAACAAACTACGATAAATGCATAATCCTTCACTACGATAAATGCAAACGAAATCACTTCAACAATTTCAGTCATTCCATTTGACGCAGCATAATGCAAAGATGTCTGCTGTTCTGACGATGCCGTCTGATGATTTGGATTAGCTCCGGCTTCCAACAGGTATGCCACAACTTCAGAATTATTCTTCTGTACAGCCAAATAGAGAGGTGTTTCGAAGATCGCATTTGGCAAATCGAAGGCTCGCTGTGTACAAATATCTTCAGCCTTTAACATCTGCTCTACAAGAGCATAAATTTTCGGGAGATCCATATGCAAAATAACAATATGCAAAAGACTATCGCCATCTTGATCCTGATAGCACAGTGAACCTTCCAATTCCTACAATACAGTTCTTAACAAGGCGTATGCAACTATCACTGGATTTACATAATATAGATGTGTATTCATTCATCACGTATGCTGTCGCCTGCACTCAATAAAAACAGCAAGTAATTCTCCAAAGGTTAATTTAATTAGCTACACCAAGGCTTTAACTTCACATATGTATTAACTTTTTTGGTCAACACTCACTTTCGACTGGCTCCAAGATTTAATCACTTTGCCATTTTCTTTTTTCACTTCCCAAATTATTCTATTGTTCCACCTCCTTTTCTGCATAAAATCTAGACACTAACATGAGTAAAAAATAGCTGGACTGCACAAGTACGTTCCAAAAATTGCGTTTAAGAATACTGGTTAATTAAGTTCCAGAAGATCAATTATTCAAGCAGCGACAAATAACTTATAGATAAGCTAAGGATATATGAGCATGCTCTGCGTTTGCAATTGCTCCCATTAACAGTAAGTTTATAAAAGTTATGCGCCAGCATATTTGGTTTTTAGATTAAAATTAAAACTGACCTGCATACATTTACATGACCATGCCCAAGCTTCAACCATTTCATTGTCACTAATAAGAGCCCTTAAGCGACTTTTTGCTAAACGTGATGTTGTCACTTCTCTTCTACTCTGGTTGGTTAAGAACTCAGGAGCTGCCAAATTCTTTTCTTCGAAAATAACTGGGATCTGTGCGGCCGTTCGTGGCAACACAGGGGAACATTGTGGTGCACTTTTAGCCGAAAGTGGTGAAACGCAATTGTCTTCAACAAGAATCCGATACAAAGGACTATCGAAATTTGTCTGATTGCTACTATCACTAATGCTGTTGTTCCTGGATCTTACTGATATGCTACTTTTCGGTGACTGTACTTTTGTTGTATATTCTTGGGAATATTTCAAAATAAAATCAGAGAGGTCTTCAGGAAGTTGAGTATTATCCACTACATCTCCAGGATATGAAATAGTTTGTTCTAAACTTAGTGAAACCTGATGCAGTGTGTCTGATGGACCACAGCGAAGACCTGACTGAACTGTATCCGGAGTCGAACAACTGGTTGATGCAAATTGTATAGGATCTGGTCCAACCGTTGAAAACATGGGATTTTCAAAGCCATACTGACCTCTGTTATAGTTTTCAGTATTTCCGTCGAAATTTTGTGGCTCTGTAACACAGCTATTTCTTGAAGTGTATGGAGCATAACCAACAACAGTGTTGCGCAAATTACGAACAGGTCCTCTAGCGAGTAATACCACAGATTTTTCAACTGATGGTTCTTTCGCTTTTTCCAGCACAGGTTCTGCTTGTTTTCCATCATTCTTTGCAGCAAACCTCGAAGGACTTGCGGTAATAGCTTTTTCGGATAAAATGACGTCAACATCACCAACATTTTTTTCATCCTTTCCATATTTTCCCTAGAAATGACGGAAATATACATAACATATTTATGCAATATTATAAAATAATCTAGATGAAGAGTAGTGTTTCATATTCCTACGTTTAAATGAAATTTTTTCAATCGAACAGTGTACTGAATAAGGGGATAAGGAAAAATTGACATCACTCTAATTCCATTCATACTGGAAGGGTTTCAGTTGTTCCTGAAATGTCCTATAGACGCCAAATCCAGACAACTGAAATAATGAGAAATAAAAAAGCCTATTTAGCAGTAAATGGCAAACTTGATAAGCAGAGTCACGTGGCAAACGGAATGTGTCTTGGTAGCTACTCTTTTCCTGATCGCAATGTTCCTACCGAATGGTCGGCAAGAGGAAAGGAAAGGACGACTCACCTTATTTTTCTTCGCAGTATCGCTATTTATGAGGTCATCGAAAAGAGTGCTATTGTGTCGACTGGTTTTGATTGTCGTGCTTGTTCTGCATGCCAGTGTATTTGAACGTAACCTTTGTAAGGTGACGAATTCCGAAGGTGATATTCTTTCAGGATGACAGCTGTCGTTTCTGCTAGTTTTGATGCAAGGATGAGAAATGTCAGGGATTGACTGTTTAACTCCAATGGACAATAAAGCAAAGTTTTTAGTAAAACCATCCGAGATATCTTTTTGTAATGGTATCGGTTTTAATTTTTTAACAGTTTGGTCATTTTTCAAGCACTCTTCAGAAGCCATATTCACTGCTTTAGAACATCACAAGAAGCGCTATCGATCCAAATCTGATAAATTATGTGACATACTTTCACTAAACATTACAATATGAATAAATACTGCACGCATTCTTTTACAGTCTACTTTAAAGATTAATGAATTAATTGAGGTAACCGTAACTGTAATGTGACATCAAATTACATCCAGACAAACACATTGTCCATTCGACATCCTATTTCAAAGAGCTACGTGCAACTCAATAATGCATAGTAAAGTAGAAGATCAAGGTCCAGCTAGGATGAAGTTACGACAAACACTAGGAGGAGAGAAGTGATACTAAATTGATCGATCTACGTCGAACACATCTGTGCTCTAATCAGCATCAATACTCGAGCAATTTATAAAAAACGTATCTCACACGGAGTGGGGCAAAATACTGCTCAGCAATTCCCAGCTGTATGAAGAATCCGTGTGCGTGCATTCGACAGAACCCTCCCCGGAAATATATGGACGTACATGCATGCTCATGCATGTACAGTGTACATATATATGTACGTATGTGCCTGTGTTGTGTATATGTGTGTGGGTATGTGTGTATACCATAGTTGCACTTATTTTAAAGACAGCATGAAAAATCAATGTGGAGTTGAGCGACTCGGGATGGATGTGTTGTTAGGATATTGCATTGTTCTCCAAAGCATTCCCTAAGATGACGCGGAAGTTACAAAAGTTATCTAGGTGACACGAGTCATATTTTCACAAATTATGAAGAGGTGCAAAGGAAGGAAGAAAGAACACATCAACATGAAATGAGACGTAGCTAGGTCAGCTATGGCTATCGATATTCTAATTTGAACAGTATACTTATGTTGTCTACACAGGTGTAAGGCATTCCCGCTGGTCTAATAATGCTTAGGATGGAGACGAGAAAAAAGGAACAAGAAAAGATGACTGTTCCAATTCACTGGGAAAAACTTGTCTTCTCTGTTATCTTCATACTCCCTGGATTGATTTAATTGTTTTATTTTTTTTAAATGGCCGTCGCTTGAGTTGCCAAAAAAATATTTGGTAGCATGTTAAAATAGTAACTAGAAAAAAAAAATTAAAATAATTAAAATGAGACCTAAGCATTTAAAATTTTACTATTTCATAGTGTGTCATTCCTTCAATTCATATACAGTCAACGTTTCAACATCGCGATAGCTTAGTTTAGAACTGCAGAGACTAACAAAAAGCAAGCATTGTACTCCTTGGTCGTCATTTGTATGTTTCCTTTTATTTCCAGCAATGGGACTACTGGTAAACATTTTGAAATTAAGAGAACTACAAATGGGTAGAGAAATTTCAAATTTGCGCTCATAGATAGGTGTTTGTCATATGAAGAATCTGAAAACAAATTCACAGTAGGCGTGAAATTATCTTACGAATTGAGAAAGCAAAATCAAATTTTTACTGTGAAGACCAAATTTATTTTCTGACTGAACAATAATAAATATTGGAAGATTTTCTGAGAAATAATTAGAGCATTTCATACAGAACCAGAACCATCCTACATCGTCCAATTTCCTCAATGTAACACTTGGGATGACGACGTGGTTGAATTCAATCACTCGTACATTAATTTATGTTTTTTAAAGTAGAAATAAATGTATTTCAAACAGAACCAGAACCATCCTATATAAGCTTAAGCGGGTCATATTTTGTTGCGTATGGTCACTTCAGTCCGGCCTTTCTAACTCATAATTCAATTTTTAGTACGATTGTTAGCAACAGTTCGACAGCAATATTTCATTCCTTTTACATTAAAGTAGCTCAAATACTTCATGAATTTGATCTAGCTCCCAGTTCAGTTTCAGATATTTTAACTGATAAAATTCAAGCACTTCTACAATTCTTAACGCATGAAATATGCATGAAATACAATCCAGGTCTTGCAAGTATTTGCAGTCACGAGCAACAAAAAGGAGAATAATTTCGGAGCTTGCGTTCGCTGACGGTATCGTGTTTATTGTGATAGACCTCATGTTGTATCCGTTGAGCAAGAAGGACGAGTTTTTAATGCTAATTATGGGCAGAATAAGTGATGACCCATGGGTGACACACAGGTAGGGCATAGAAAGCGACAGTTCTGCAAGGCAACAACGCGACGGTCCAAGTAAGAAGCGTCAGTAAATTGCATCTCTGAACAACCTATTCAGGAAGATAGCTAATTAGCTAATCATAAAGTTAATGGCAAAGGTGCTCATTTTACGATATTTGCAGATATGCTCAATGTACCATAGCATGTTTTTCAATCTCCTGCACACAGCTAACTCCAAAAAATACCATACCGTCATGATTAGTCCACACAGTTAAGACGGTCACAAGTTGATCTCATGACTATGTCAAGGAGGACTGAGAGATGTACTTGTAGAAATCGATTAACTGCATCTCTAGATGACACAGCTCTGAACGAGAAAGCGAAAAGGAAGTTAATGATGATTGACAAGCAGTGTCGAAAAAACCGAATTACAAAGAAGTAAGATTGTATCAGATCCATAGAACTAAATATTGTTATCTGAACATTCTTTAGAGAAATGTTCCAATTTCACATAAGAAATTCATTCATCCAATATTTATCTTCCATGTAGCTGAGCTGTGTTGATATTTGTCCCCAACTGGGTGGTTTACAATTATCAGTTCCTTATTTAGTTGACCTCTTTTGTTGTTCATCGGCTCCTCAGCCAACTCTAAATTATGTTCGAATTTGACAAGGTTAATTTTTCATTTAGCTGACCTTCTTTACAGAATTGTAAATCATGCTTGTTAGTTAATGCTTACTATATAAAGAGTTATACTTTTTATCTGGGTTAGATTTTCTAGATAACAATCTGACATTCACTGCTTTCTTACAACTATTTCCTGATATTATCATAATCTTTATCTCAATAAAATATTGGTCAACATCGTATTCTCTGCAAAGCATTCCCTCGGTTCTACGATCTGCTTGAATCAGACCCTATTTCACTAAATACTTTCCTGCAACGATATAGTAAAGATTTTATTGTTCTTTCTTTGAATCCAACAGTTGTGTAAGCAAAAAACTACGTTAATAACGTGAAAGAATTATGATCACATAACATGTGACTATAAAACTAAGGAAGGACAGCGACTACATTAGTCGATAAAGTAAGAATAAATACGGTTAATATAGATGGAATATGGTTCAAGCTTATGTGGTCTACGATTACATGTTACAGCGACATATTTGGATGACTCCAGTGAAGTTATGGATACAAATGTCCTATTAATTTGATCATATATGAATGAAGATATGTTTGTACGAACGAAAATGAAAGCGAATAATTTGAAGTGGCGTGGATAATATGTGTGTCTTATAATATACGAAGCAGAAAGAAGTCGTAATATGAAGTAACAGACTGTGGAGGTAAACTGAAGGGAGTAACGCAATGCAAATATAGGTGGAAGTTGTTTTCGTCTCATTATGTGCTATAGTACAGCACTGAAAACAAGACGAGTAGGTTCACGTATTTTTCATCGTTCTAGGCAATACAAAGAGTGTCAGTAACTCCGAAATTCAAAATTTCAAGTAGTTTTGAGCAATCAATGTGGCTGGAATGAAGAAAGTTGCAAACTGAAGCCAATAGAAAAGAGCAAAATTAAATGGGAATAGATATGCAAATGGGCAATGATATAAAACAGGGACCAAAAAATGTCTGCCTGCTTCCACACGACGCTAAAATGTACAAATTCAAATTGATGGTCGACTTTTTTCCTCTTTTGAGAAACTACGCACAAGAAATGATAATCGTAGAAGCGAACCTTGAAGTTGGAGGTGAAGGGAGAGCAGAAGAGGGACGCTTATAGGAGATGCTCCACAATGGAAAGTGAGCACACACTTTCGGCGCCAGGCACCGAACAAATAAAAATATATCGTCCCTAAGCATACACTGCGCCATGTCACCCAGCTTCCACGATGTCAGTTTCACAGCAATTTGTTTTATGAATAATGTGATATCAGGAAAATTTCTGGTTCAAGGATTGGTTTTCGTCAATTTGTCTCACCAATATTTCCTTTCTTTTAAAAGGATTTCACCTAATCCTCTGTCTTTATCAAATTCATATTTGTAAATGCAATTTAAAGGACGAAATACTGTCTAATTCAAAATTATTTTTTTTTACTAAATTCTTTTTTCTTTCAAAATATCGTTTTCCTCTTTAAATCTGTTACAATTCAGAAATTTCTTTATTTTTTTTATTTTATGAAAAGACTCAGAAGTGTAGTGATTAAAAAGTGAACGTTTTGAATCTTGTGACTGAAGTACTGATTGTTCTGCACACTCCTGCATGCAGGAAGCAATGGAATTTAAAATTTTGTTAATCCAGCTTTTCAATGAATTATTTATATGTACTGGAACTGCTGGGACCGGTGGCGTAAGCAAACCAATTAGATGCTGTCAAACAGCATTTGTACAGGAAAGCCATAAATAATTTAAGTTGTTTTTTTCATCAAAATCAAGCTAAAAAAGAGCTAGTTAGAATGGAGTAAATTCCAAGCAATGCCTTGAATTTTTGGTTGCTTAGTAAACCCTAATCTAATTGCCCTACACCTATAGTTGTATCCTATATTAAATAGGTTTATGACATCAAAATTTAAGCCATTCTATTTATATATTCATCAGTTTGGTATCATGATTTGAATCACTAAATCTTTTTCGAAGAAGTGGTAGCTTCTTGTAGTACCTAGAATATTTTCATATTCTAGTATAATTTGAGTATCCACTCCCGTTAAAATGATATTACCAGGTCGAATTTGAAGTATAAGAAATTAAACACAATCTACTATTTTTTTTTTTAATCGGGCTAGATTATTAGATTATCTTATGTAGCTATATTTTTAAAAAAATTTGGAATTTTAATCTGGCTCGTTTTTTCTAAAAGTCGCACAGTGAGTGTACGAAGAAACTGCAAACCAAGACTCTGGAAAAAACTATAGCATTCGTAATTTACAGTTAGTAACATTGCCGATTAAGCCATTGTCATCAGTAACACAACTACAAAAGAATCAGTCTGCATCTTTTTCCTTGAATAGATTTTGAAACTTAGTTCTATGTTAAAAGCAAAATAGAAAAAAAGAAAAAGTTATTGCATTCCGTGTTTGACAATAAAAGAAAGAAAAAAAAATACAAAGCATTAATTACAGAGTTACAAATGAACCTAGGAGATATGACAAGCTAGGTAACAAGATTATATTAAGATTATAGTCAATTTTATTAGTTTAACAAATATGATAAGCTAAAGCAATGATTGTAACAAAATGTTTTTGAATTTAACTCTTAAGTTAAGAAAAAATGCATTTAATTTCTTAGGCGAAAGTACGCTTATAAAATCTTGACGGCATTGATTTATGCTCTGGATTTTTGAAGCTAAAAAATTTCAATAATTCTATTAAGTTTCTGAAAATATGGCTATTTATTGACTAGATTTGCAAACAGAAGAAAACAAGGAAGATGCAACCTTCTTTGACGCGCAAGTCTGATTGTGAATGGTTAGGGATTTCAAGGATAGTACATCTAGGAGGATGAAAACGTTGATAACATTCAGTTAAAAGTGAAACCTTCATTATTATCCGACCATTTTAATTTCTTATGGGAAGAAAATATCTGCGATAGATATTCCATAGGAAAATTAAACAAATAAGTCGAAAAGCTTTCTCTGGCAACCTTGTTGGAATATCTCAAACGTTTGCACCAAATGGTTATATTCAGTGTTTAGTTATAGATATATTAACTCATAAAGTTTTTTATAGTGACACGTAATAATTGAAAACGTCAGTGCAGATTCTATCCTGAAATACTTTACCATGCTTTTAGAAGTCATAAGCTTAAACTACACAGCTACACTATCAACATTACATTTAATGATGTAATTAAACAAATCAAATTTGAAGTGTGTGACTTAATATTTTCAGTTTCCTTTTACGATACAGATGTACTTAACACTGATGGCTGTTTAATGACATATTTAAAAGCTGAAATTGTTGAAAACACATCAGTGTTATAGACTAAAATTCAGTTGAAAATCTCATTAACGAAACATCTGTGAAAGAATCTTTAAGAATAAAGTTTCAACATTTTGAAGTAATTGTGGGTCATGGAACGAGTTTTTTGTCTTTATGATGATAGAGAGAAGAATAGTGAGCAAAAGCAGTGGCAGTAGCAGCAGTAGCACGAAATTGGTAGGGTATCTTGATTTGTGCGCGTATCGAATAACAGTCAGTTTCTGGATGCAGCACAGTTACTGCATTCACGTATGAGAATCGGGAATAGGCGAGAGTGAGTTGGCGATGTCATAATATGAAAGGAAAGTGGGATAGAAACGGAAAGTTATGAGAAACAAAGAAGGATGAAAAGGGATTTTGTTGAGCAACAGCAGTAAGGCATTCTTCGCAAATTCATGAACCACATTACCAAAAATGTTCATAATGTGCTCCTCCTTAATACTCCTGTTCCTTCTCTTCCCCTCAGGTATTATTATCTTTTTTGTTGAAGATTTTAATTTCAGTGATTCAGTTTTAAATCTTTTTTTCCGGATTCATTATTACGAGAATAGAAACAGTATATTTTACTGGTCATTTGTTTGGAACTTTAAATGCTTGCCACAATTTACTTATTATTTTGTGTAAAATTTATCCAATAATTAAGAAATGAAGCTTAGTGCAGTAAAATCTTTTAAATCATACGACTTACCAAAATTAACAATTGAATGAATCTAATCTACCATAATTGAACTCATTTGATTTATTATAGCAAATAATTAATTAAGTGCATCTTCATTTGCATGAATTAATAACGGTTGCAGGGAATGGATGTATGGCGGGATACGGATATGAGAGGATGAAATTGAAAGAATATCTTGGAATTGAATGGATAGAAGGCGGTTTTGATGAAACTGGTAATAACAGTGGTGGTTATATCTTTTTAAATTAAGAATCAGGTGCATCAGCTTCGTAACGGCTGTTGATGCCGAGTGTTTTTTAGCGGCAACATGAAGACATAGGTTGGAGTAGTAAAAGCTAAAAAATAGATCGGCAACTGGCAACCAAAAACATTTAGATAGGACTGGTTGTTACTTTTTCCTGACACCTTGATGGTATCATAGCAATAATAAAGTAATTCCTATTTCTTTTACATCTATTTCTTCTTTTCCGAGGATCACTAATGCCAAGCCTTTCTTTTAGACCAACATGACAACAAATCGATACGACATGCCAATGATCTGGACTGCACATTTGATGATATAAAGAAATGTCAATGGCGCAATGTTAGAGAGAAAGAAGCACTCGATTCCCTCGACTTTCATTTATTTGAAAAAATTGATTTTAAGGAATTCCCTGTGTTACAAGTCCGGCCAGGACCAAGTCGACTGGCTCGAGGTTCAGATAAAAAGTTCGAAATTGCATTTAAAATGATTACATCGCTATATTTGAAGAATGCATAAGGAATGTGTTGCTAAAATGCCGTTAATCAATTTTTTCCCTAGTGTGCTACATTTGCCATTTGGCCTATTATTTTTAAAATCAAACAAAACCTGATCCAACACCTTACGACAGTAAGGTGATGACTAATTAGAAGGGAAAAGTGGTGGAATAGACTCATGGAATTTCTCATTAAGCTAGAGATATTAACCATGGCTTCGCTGGCAAAAATCAGAGAAAGTTATCAAAACCTGGGTGAAAAATTAAGAAAAATGAACTCTCAAGTAAAGATAGGAGATAATGTTCTAAATTATGGAAATTATGGAAAAAAAAGTCTTTAATAAATTAATAGCGGACAAAGCTTCCCATTTAGGTGACAAACTTTTGTTTACTGGAGATCGGAAACAAGAGGAACAAACTGCTGTCTTGAAGAGTTCACCAATTCTTTGTCAAAACAGCACAGGAATCCTTACTTTTACGTATGTTTCCCTTTCACATAAAAGAATTTACTCATAACTAATTCAAAAAATCGTGTAAATTTCGAATAATTTTCAATTCATTATCGAAATTTAGTTTTTACCAGATAGATTTTCCTTTCAGGTTCTGGTTGTACAATGGTGCACGAGTGGAAGTATTGTTATTGAAACAAAAAAAAGATCGGCTTGTTATTTTGCCGGAAAAACCTTTTGTTGACTGTGGTACAGTTTTGCTCAATACTGAATGTACAGCTGAAATTCCGCCGCGTGATGAAGAATTCAGGTATAAATAGCTTTGACATTTCATTCAATTTGTTTTACATACTTAACTCAGAATTAAGAAATCAACTATATCTTTCTTGCACTTATTATTTTGAAAACCACTATATTTCAACATTTTGAACTTTTAACTATTTTTTCAATCATTTCGTCAGGATTTGATACTTTTTTCCATATAGCATTGGAATCAAGGCATATAATATAGCAAATCGTGAAGGCTCATTTGTCATGGTCGACAATATCGTCTATCGAGCCTCTTTATGCAGAATTTCAAATATGTTTTTCTTACTAGCTTTTCCCCTTTTTATCTTTAAATTTAAACTCACTTTAAATCTTACCAATATTTTTCAGTAAACGATATTTTTTAAGCTAGAATTTTTGAACACAATGAGATAACTTTATGTTTTTATTATCCATATAATATTCTTTTTCACAGTTTGGAGAATGATAAGTATTTGCAACATGTGATTTGAATATTTTTGTTTGTAGTTGATCTGGGCGAGAATTTTCGAGGTCGACCATTCATTACATCCAGTAAAGGAAGTCTTGTTAAAGCTGCTCATGACCTAAACTGCAACAATTTTACTTCAAGATGTCGGTGGCGCATGGTCGGTTATGGATTAGAGGTCATCAGTGCTATTTAAACTGAATTTCAAGTTTTTTTTTTTTTTTTTTTTGTTATGGGCAACTTTGTTTTTACAGAAAAGAAAACTGATTGATTTAATTTCTACAGATGTGGCAGATAGCCGATGAATCACCGAGCAATGAATTAATGTTTAATGCAACGGGTGCTTTACCAGTACCAGAAGCACCCTTTTTGTTCATGTACATTGAGCAGAATCGTCACGGTCCTTTTAATGTTTTACAATCCGATCCAATTGATTGCCAAATAGAAAACACATCTAAATTTAGCTTCAGGTTACTCATATTTAGTTTAGAACGGTTTTTTGTAAATAGTATAGCGTATATGAGGCAAAAACAAATCTCGAGGACATAACTGCTTCAAATAGGTAAAATCTTTCATCCTTATCGTTTCATCCATTTATTACTTATTTTAAACTTTTTACTGATGAATGAAGTATGAGAGTAGATTCTGGACAACTCGTAATGTGGCTTTGGAAATTTGTGCTCGAGATCGTTCATTAAATGCTGCAGAATGTCATTTGGTACCAATGGCTTTATCACCTGCTCTTGTTAGCATAAAAATCAACAAACTGTCGACATTTTCTGTGATTTTTAGAAATTTTTGTTTAAACGTGAATTAATCTCATTTACGACAATTTAATAAATTGTTATGGCAGTGTTTGTTTTTTTTTTTTTTATCAGATTTAGTGATTTATTAATGGATTTACCAGATTTTAGAAACTTAACAAATTTCCTCTAATGGACAAAATTATCATCAGAAATGGCAAATTTATGGTAAATTTATATATCTTCAATTTTTAATTAGTTTGTCAGATTTCAGTTAAAGCTTTTTTTTAGTTAACAGTTGAAGTGAAAAGTATCAACAGTGATTACGACAACTTTATCGCAATCGATGACATAAACTATGAAGGGACATTTTGTAGTGAAGCAGTAAATGCTTGGGATCTCGGTGGCAATTTTTATCCGACATCCATGCTTAGTGCACTAATGCAAAAACCAATATTTTCAACCAAAGTAAGAAAATATCATACTGACATTGTCTTTTTACAAATATGATCGATCATGTCATTATAAGTGTGTGTCAAATACTCGAATTTCAGATATTTCTAAAACCCATTTTATTTTAAATCTCTTCTTGCACTTCTATCTACATGAACTAAAGACATTTGTAAAAACAAGTCCCGTAAATTAAATAATTAATGTTTGATTTTTGGGATTTGGACTGTTCATTTGAAAGACGTGCTGTAGACTGTATGTGGGCAAATCATGAACAAGCAGAACCGGCATGGCAGATTGGTACCACGCCACTTAATAAGCACAAATTTATTTCTCTTACTGGTACTTCTGAATTGCCAGGTAAAGTTTCGTTTATAATAAAATAAATATGCAATTACTGCTGAAGAACACGAAAACAAACAAAAATCTTTCATTTAGATGGTGAATTTGCTGTTGTTCACTTGAAATCTGGTCAAGCATCAACGCTAATCACTGAACCAATCCGATGCATTTCCGGTCAAGCTACACTTACATTTAGGTTTTTGTTAACATCTAATTTTACAAACTAATTAAGTTTGACTTAAGAATTTGAAATATGTCTATATGAACTGACTACTTATGAGTGATACAAGTAGTTGATATCCTATAAGGTGTCTATCGATACTTTTTGACGAACAAAAGCTAGTTTGCATTTATCGTAAAACGATACAGTTATTTTTGCAATTCACAGCAATTCTTCACTTTTCCCAAAAATTATATAAAAATTAAATTTTGCACAGTGATCGAAATAAATTGGATTGATACTGCAGATACATTAATGAGATCTTGACTGTTATAGAATTCATAGAACTCTAAAACGGAATTCAAGTCTTCTGGCTTCAATTTTTCAATTTGCTGAGCAGAAATTCATTTGCGGTACTTTTTTATAAAAAAAAAATTTTCAGATTCTGGCTTAGTGGTAACACACGTTTGGACGTTTGTTTGCTTGAAGATAAGATTTTGGAAGCGGTTGACTGCCAGCAAATAGTCCTAAAACAACCAGGACCTGCATTAGTTGATTTACCGGGAATGAATCATCCGGTACGGATTGCTTTGAAAGCGGAATCATCTTCTCAAGGAATGGCACTAATTGATGATCTAGTAGTTATGGTAAAAAATATAATTATTGAAGGGATTTCAAGTTGGAAGTGAGAAAAACACAGGAAATTTTGCTAGCTTACTGGAAACATTTTTTAATCTTTGTATTAAGAGTTTGAATCCAAACAAAAGATTGTTTGCGCAAGAAGAAAAGGGCGAAAAGATAATTTAAATGAACATATCTCGAGACTTCTTTATTGGTGTATTCTATTTTCTAAAGGTATGAAATGAGATTTTCAGACCATTTCAGGGTGACATATGTCCATCAGTAATACGCCATCACGGTGTGCGTTTATTTGGTTCTGGACTAGCCCAAATACCTGATCCAAATGTTTGCCGACTTCTTTCTTGTAACTTCATGGAAGGTAAAAGCATGTCTTGTTTGTTTATTGATTAGACTTATATACTGAAAATGAATGCGTGGAGCAGTTGTCAAGATTTCAAAATTTCAGGTCAAACATGCTTATACAGTTCAGGTCGAGTTGCTTTGTCTCAAAGTAATTTCAAAGCACGAGATGGCGCTGTTACTGCATTTTTATTTAAAAAAGGAAAAGTAGCAGTACTCGAATCACCAACTTTCCGTCTAAATGCTGCTGCGAGGATTCATTTCTTGTATCGCAACGATGTAATTCTCTTTTCATATATGTCTCAAAGTCTACGAAAATTTTCAAAACTTTTTTTGAAAAAATTCGTTATATTTAATTATGATAGGTTAGTTATATTTAATTATTGACTGGTACATCCATGAGTAGTTTTGACAAGACATTTTTGAACTGTTTGATTGGTCACAAAATAAAATCTGAGCAAATTTATGCAACAACGATTAAGAATGAGTTGGATATTTATCGAGATTCCCGCAAAAACTGCTTCCAGGCGAATACATCTGTGGTTTTTGTATGTCATGATAGCATTAGCCGAGAGTTGGAGAGCTGTTTCAAAGTTAGAGGAGACAGTGCAGGACATGGCTGGCATCATGATTTCATGGAAGTATTACCTAGTGATACAAAGTTTTATATGGTTGCAAAGCTAGCTGATAATTCTAGAAGTGCCCGTGTTTCCATTACAAACATTACTGTTACCGATGTTGACAATAATATTGCTTGTTCACTGTAGAGCTAACGATCTCCCTGAACTTGTTTAATAAATATTTCGGTTTCATTGAGAGCAGTTCAAATTCCCCAAATTTTTTCTTACTTGTTTTGAATTTTGTTTCTTTGTTTTGGATTTTGTTTTTCTTTGAAATTCTTATAAAAACGGAAAAAAATTATTAATCAAAGTGTAATAAAAAACATTTGGTATTAAAATTTCTTTTTTTGCTCATTTGAGTTGCTAATCGTAGTCACGTTGGACATTCATCCATTATTACTCTTTAGTCATTTGTATATTCATAAAGGTATACTAGACGCAGTAATTGTCTCGGAATAATATCACTTTCTCCCTTCCCATAGTTGATCACTGATGGTCAACAATGTTTGCTGAATCAGTCCAATTTTCTTTTTATTTCATGAAATATTTTTGTTTCTAGGTATCAAGGAACGTATATGCTTTTTAATGAACTCCTTTTAAATTTCTCACTGTCATTTCTTTCTTTGTATCGAAGTTATGTTCCTCCATTTTTGGATTCAAAACTACCCGCAGTCTTACTGTAGCTGATCATTTCTTCCTATGGTGTTTTCTAAATTTTTAACTGAAGACAGTTGCTTAACTGGTAAGAAATACCATTATCTATTTTTAGGTGGCTACATCCATATGCAATTAAACCTGCAAGAAGTTTGCTTCCTTACTGAAAAATCATGCGAGGAAAAATTAGAAAATCATTTAACCAGCAGAAGCGAAAGAAAATAGAAAACCGACATCTCGGAAGAATTAACAATAATTCGTCTTTATTATTTTGCATCTCACCGATACTGTAACAAAATTTCTGTGTTTGTAGAATACATTTACTTGGAAACCACTTAATATTAATTAATAACGGTACGAAGAAGTTTCAAATCTAAGTTCTGTCTTTAATTTTGTTCTTTCACAATTTTCATACATATTTCGTAAAGAATAAAAGCTAATTTCATCGAAATGAATGCATCGCAATCAATGATAAAATTATTACCTGTATGCAAATAAAGGAAAGACAGAATTCCATAAAAACAATAGTACTTCTTGTTGAGAAACACAAAATAAGTTTTGCGAACCTCCAAATAATTTACAAAAAATTGTATTAATCCATAGCATTAAAATTTGTCTTAATTCAACATTGTTTAAAGAAATACAAAACTATTTCAAATTGTAGTCCATGTAAGCAATCATTATGCCAAGACTCATCTTCCCATTATAGCCGAGCTTATGTGCTTATCTAGAAAATTTCAACAGTCAACAAAGGGTATGTGCATTGTTTAATATGTTAAAAACTACTCCTTTGTTCTAATTCAAATTTACTTACGACGTTGAAATACTGTAAAGCTTTTCCATGCTAATAGTGATTCCTGGAGGAATTGACAATGTTAAAATCCAACCCTTACTACATGAAGAGAAAAGATCATCTGATAGCTAGCTCTTACCTCAATGTAATCATGCGCTTGTTGCAAGTGAGTGCTAACTGCATATGGAATTAACTTGTCTAGATAGTTTTTTTGTACCAACACGTTATAGTTCGACTGCTCTCCCGCGCTCATTTAATTCAGTTCATTTAAATCCCTTAAGTTCCCCATCAATTCATTCATTTTCTTCAGTTCATACACGCAGGCAAATACTACGAACTTACAAGTATATTCTCGGTATAGATTTGTATCGTGGTTACTAGCGAATAAAATCCTTACAATAGACCATTCAACAAATTCTTTATGCTAACCACAATAACAAACAAGGAAGGCTTTTGAGCGCATGAAAGTCCAATTCAACTCTGAATTGCAAGAGTCAGATGCTCAAGTTTTACAACACTTTTGGCTTTAACACTTATCGCCTGGAAGTATTCATTAAAATTATATCCAAGAAGGTTCAAATATCACTTAGAATTCTTCTTTCAGTTAAATTAAATACAGATGGATTCAAGATCTAAAATCGAAAGACATTAAATTAAAGAAAATTTTAAACTAAGGTCGCAAGTTCACATAAATGGAACTACCATAATGCGACTACTGGCATGAAAATCGAATCGATTCATTATTTTTTTCTGAAAACCACCTCTTTTTTTCTAACTGGTGGAAATTGGGGAAAACTAAATTTGCGTAACTGCATTACATGGCACAAATGTAAATCACTACAATTCCCGAAAAAACATTGATCCAGAAATTATTTTGCATTTTTATTATAATTACTTCTAAAAGACACATGAATAGGTCTGAAATTGTAATAAGTTCACATTATTCACCAACTTAAGAAAGACAAAAGCAAACGATTATTTCCCACAACTCCCAGCACGGAGTATTTCTATTCTACCATTATTACAAAGATGTAAAGCTCTGGTCACTGTTCTATCTGACACCACATCAAGCAACTAGTTCCAGAACTTACAGTTTTAAAATCTCCATGCAAGATTTGAAACTGTCAAACGGACAAGATATATATCGCTGTCATGTTTTGCTTAATTTATGATAATGACCCTAAATTTGAATTACAATTAGTCCACTTTTCAAGAAACAATGAGAAGCGCCAGCGAAACGCTAATTCCTCACTCACCTTATTTGTAAAGAGACAAACAGCATAGTTCATGAAACTCTGCTTTGTTTTCACTGTAGTTGTTGGATTTTCGATTTGAAAAGATTTCTCTGTCTCCTTCATCTAAAGAACCAGTTAGTAAAAGTCACTGTGTAAATGGAATAAGAATCTTTATTCCTCGTATTCAAAAATGAACTCATTCAAGTATTAAATTTCACTTGAAAAGTAAAGTAATGAAATCAAATATCACCTTAATTTTCCAGAATAAAATAACATACTGAAGATGCTTAAGATACTTCAATCAAATCCGAACTCTACTGGGAATTCAGTAATTTCTAGTTTCAACTCAGTATTTTTGTCATGGGAAATCGATGACGCACTTCACTTGCTTATTCCATAATTCGGTACATTGCGTTTTAGGTTCTAAAATACCATGCGTATAAAGACCATAGATATTTACATGCGTTTTCTTATTATTGAGAATAAGCTTTACTGATTGATACAAAGATAGGCTATATGTACCTATGTAGATTAAAAAAAATCGCATTATTGCTATAATGACTTTAGTGATCTAATTAAGATGTTCAATTTCAATAATTTCCAGAAAATTGTTTCTTTCTTCAACAGCATACTCCTTATTTACAATAGCAACAGAATTTTATCATTAATTAAATCTCAAACTAAATTTTAATCATTTGGAGATGTTATCTGCTTCACATTTTGCAATAAATAACACATTCTTTCACTGTGCTGATGTCTAGTAGTGTGCTGTGTTCCAAAAAATGTTTAAATCAAATAACTTGCTGTAACTTAATAAAGAACAGAAGCGCACTGTCAAAGAAAGAGACGATATTCGGGAAAAAAATTGAATAAAAAAGGCACTCATAATTGTAAAAAATATTTTGAATGGATTGCTCAAATTGTACATTGTAGGCCCAATGCTTCACAACTTCGATGGTTTGATTAAAAAGTTGAAAAAATTTTTCTCGAAAATTCACCTATGGATTGAAGAACCCGTTGAAAGGATTTAATTTAATGAGCATGACAAAATGTAAAACTGAATCCTAAATTTCACCAGTCCTGCAGACGCAGATCAGGCTATATGGAAGTCCATCTAAAAAGCCAAGAGAAGACCCAAATGAGTAAGAGAAAAAAATCTGTGAAGATAAGCCAAAATATCCCAAACAAATTTCAGGAAACTAAAGTATCCACGCGATTTCTTCGACTATTTTTGCTGTGCTCCTGATGCTCTCTTTCCTCCAAATTCCACATCATATTAGAAATTTGAAAAGTTGAAAAACTATGAAGAAAAATATACAGTCCACTAAGTGGAATGATAAAATTGCACAGAGAGGCTGCTGTTAATTGAGACGTTCGTGACATTGTTTTATTGCGGACAGGTAAATGGTTTTTACTGATCGCTCTACGAGGATAGGATTCTGGCTTATGGGTGTTTTGGGCGTCGGAGTCACTTTACCTACACTGTAGACTAGGAAAGTAGAAGGGTCAGGTCATAGTTTAATCAGTTGTATCTGATCCATCCTTAAATTTGTTTAGTCATATACCTTCAGCCTATTTTGGTATGCATACTTCCCGCTGTTGGATTATTCAGATTGTTTGTATATCGCAGTTTTCTTTTTCACTTCATTCCGCAACTGAAGCAGAATCAAACAGAAATTGGATTGCTGGGTTATCTAAAATCAGCCAGAGAAATGGAAGTAACACGTTTTTCTGGTCATCGTATTGATTGAAATGACTATATGGGAAAGTGTTTGGTAGTTATCATTTGTTATTTTGCTGTTCGATCAAGCATTTATGGAATATGCATTTAGGATGGGTGATGTAATGGAAGAACGTTTACGAACCTATATAAAAGAAGTGGAGAATCGAATGAAATGTCAACTTGATGATAGGAAAAAGTTAAAAGATGCTATTCCGTTGTCTGAAGAGCAACTTCGAAAAATGGACAGTGCGCTGAAGCGAACGACAGCTTTTATGAAAAAATTAAAAAATATTGGATGCATACAACTGGCATCGATTTTACAAGATGTGGATAAAGTGGGCTGTTCAATTTTTTCTTGACTTGTGTACTAGCATCTATCTACCAGTTTACTTATGTTTCATCTGCGTACTTATTTGTCTGATGATATCGAATCAGTCAGCAATGACCAGTTTATGGAATGTTAAATAGTTGGATAACTTGTAGCAGTTGATTTGCGGCGGCAGCAGTTGATTTGTTTGGAGTTTTTTTCCTTTATTTTATAAATTACAAGAATTTTTGTGTAGGAGATTTTTTAAAAATTTTTTCCAGGTTAATTTGTCAAAGTTTGTTGAGGAAATGACTACGACAATTGCTGAAGCAAAAATAAAATATAGCGAGGTACAGTCCGTCGTAACAGTTTGTGTGCATTTATCTTGTTATTATTCAGAATTCTCTTCCCTTTTGTTTATGGAGTTCCGCAAACTGCTGCCATCAAAACGAAGTGACAGAATTCAAAATCCTTCCAAGTTGCGCGTCGATATCAGGTTTCATTTCCTTCAATCATAGGTGTAATTATTAATAGACTCAAGACTTAGAAGGTTGCTGTTCTCTCTGTGCTTGAACTTGTTGTCTACGTTTGTTGTTTCTTAAATTCTTTTGCTTCCTTATTAATGTAGTGTAAATAATGCATACCGACCAATTCACTATGATAGGTTTGCATCTCTCTCATGATTCATGTTTTAGATTGCTGGCTGAACTCTGTCTTCACGGTGTTTTTGGAAAAGAAGGCGTGCAACTTTTGGGGTCTGCAGTTTCATTCCTTACTCTCACGGACAGAACTGAACATATCAACATTCCAATTTTATTGCCGTTCTGTAAAGTCATGAATGTTGATTTACTTGGTTTGCACCCTTATTCAATGAAACAGGTGTTCATTAATGCTACTCACTATATTGAAAAGATTAAATTATAGCGCATAAGTTGGGATTTCTTGTTCATCGCACAGTAGATACTGAAAAGAGATGTCTGTGCAAACAAATTATTCCATCAGTTTTGTCAGCTAAACCTATTAGAATAGGAGTAACAACATCTTCACTTTAAACATGAAGCTGCTATGATAAGTTGGTTATGCCCTATCTACAGGCATTTTGTTTCAGCTAGTCTTATAAGGACTATTCTTCTTTATTGGGCTATAAGGACTATTCTTCTTTATTGGGTTAATTATGGTAATATTAGCATTGCTTATAATTTTGAATTTGAATCTTGCTTAGTTACCACGGAATAATTGGAATTGGTTTTTTTTTACTGACTATATCTTTTTTTAGGTTGCATCAGCTGCAAATATTAAGTTGCCGGAAACGTCAGTAATATCTGTTGATTATAAAAAAACATTTGCACAGCTTCTTCTGGATTATCGTGTATCACTGGTGGAGCATATAAAACAGGTGAGCGAATTTGAGGAAACCGTTTAATCATTTGTTTATGAGTTTTTCATTTACTATTACCCAGCATTTATGTTCGATATTCTATTTACTGATCCATCTTTTGATACTGATAGATTTACGGTCGATACGGTTAATCAAATTTTTATCAAAATGAAGTGATGATCTTTCAAAACACTTAACTTTATCTCCAGTAAATATTACTGAGTTGTAAATACTTTGTTCCTTAACCACATTCAGTTGTGCAAGACATCGATGTTTTTTTCGTGATAAATGGATTTTGGTAAGATGCGTGCTAACCCGTGGTCTTTGTAGGATTTGTTTGAAATGAACCAGTTGCTGCTTTCGATAAAACGTCAGACGCGAACGCGGGGAGATGCTTCTGCGGAAGATCGAAATCATCTGGAAGAAATACGTGCACGGTATGAAAAGATTTTAACGAGTGGAATTCAGCTTAGTGAATACCTAGGTGTTGAGATGGAAACGATGAAAGAAGAGCAGGTCATTTTAATCCTTATTTTTTAATACTTTTGGTTTTTTTGGCATATAATTTATAAACGTTTATTTGGTTTATAATTTATAAACAGTCAAAATGTGTATTTGAGGGTAGAAAAAATTATTCTATTCATTGGACTGCTATCCACATGCAAAATTTGTATTAACTATGTATTTCATGATATTGTCATGCTTATCGTATAATAGATGTGAAATATAGAGCGAAGATGAAGAAGAGGAGGTTTCCGCACTAGCACTTAGCCGTGCATTACATGAAGGAACTATTACTGTATGGCCGGATGAAGACACTCGGCAGTTTTATGAAACAAGAATGGAGCTTCGACAGCTTGTCCCGGCAATTCTTTTCCAGGTGATTTAACGTATTTTTGCATGAATGATGGCTCTGGAAATTCTACTAAATCACTGAATGAATCAGTGCAGTTTGGGGGCATCATATGTATGTATATATGACTGAGCTGGATATTGATACTCGTACTTATTTTAGTACTGCTACTATGATTATTGTTATTTTTAGCGCTGTTAAGATTTTTAATTGGTGAGGTACTTTTTTTTGGTTCTAATCAAAAGGTAATAGCTTTTGTGATGTTGAACTTATAGTTTTATTTTTTGTTATATTTTTTTGGTAATTTTAGTTGTTTTCTTATTAAATTTAATTAGTATTAATTTGGGATCTAGTAGCGTTATACTAGGTTTATAAAATATTAAATTGATTTTACTATATCTGATACGGCTCAGCTAGAATTATATTTTTATTTGAATTTAGTTTAACAAAATTTTCTTTTTTTGGATTAAAAGATTTTTTCCAAAATTTTGGTTGATTTTTTAAATTATTTGATTTTTCTTTCTGCTACTTTTACTTTGAGTTATATGTGAAATTTTGGTAGTACATTATTATGTTAATATCTCAAATCCGTATTGGTTTTTTTTTTTAACTTTTTATTATATGCTTTTAGGCGAGTTTAATATGTAATATTAATTTAGATTGGTTTATTCTATTATGCATTTTAATTGTGTTTCTATAAATAAATAAATAAATAAATATATATTTATTTATTTATTTATAAATATATATATATATATATTTATTTATTTATTTATTTTCATATTTTTAAGAGTTTAATTTATGGGAGGTATCGTCATGTTAGAGTTTGAGTAGGTGGTATTGTTATATAATTTTAATAGGTATTTCTTTTAATTGTTATGTTTTAGTTTGGGACAAATAAGATATTGAGCAGGTGTTATTACTTCTTGTTTTTTTGTTATTTTAGTTCCTACAGAACGTTTAAAAAATCGTTACTTTTATCCTCACATTGCAGGAATATTCCTAGGAAGAAAATATTAGGTGCATAATGCTAATAATTTTTGAGAATCACGGTGCGTTTTAAAACTGTGTACTGTCATATTATGATTTTCTAGGAATCGGAACGACGAACTTTAGATCTAGTCGGTGGGAGGATTGAAGATGTTGATCTGAGCGGTTTGGATGCAATTGTTGAAGAAGCTGAAGATGAGGGTGATGATCATAGTGAAGGTTTGTTTTAAAATTTTTTTTCTTGTCGGAATGGGAATTATGATGTTCAGAAGCAGAAGTACGTTTAACGGTGAATGTAAATAAAGAATAGTGGTATATTCTCTTCTTCCATCTTGTATTTACACTCGTCATGTTTTATCGTAAAAATTTCTTATTAAATATTCCCTATTAAATATGGCAGATCTAGAGTAAGAAATGTGTAACACATATAAGAAAGGTAAAATATACCAAATAATGCGAAAAATAAAAATTGTCAAATTTATGTCTTTTTGAACTCTGTTATCAAGGAATTCATTGTCAAGCCGCTTTATTAATTACATAACTATAATAGAAATAGCATGCCCCTATTTTTGCATACCCTTATGAGTTCTTCTAATGCATGTCGCAAATTTAAAACATAAGCAATTCAAGTTGTGGTATAAAATGTTATAAAAGTGTCCGAAATTCTGTCATACCAAAGTACCAAATTTTCTTAAACTAATTATTATGCTTTAGTGTTAGCTGTGAAATCAAACGGATTTCTTAGAAGATGGTAACACTAAGTTATTCTAATCTTTGTGACCTTCATAAAAGGAGTTCTGGTTATGAAGCGAGAGTAAATGGTAAACAAATGGTTATCATTCTTGTGAGGTCATGGAATTAGGTCATGTTATTGCATTATCATTACTTATTATAGTGAAGATTTATTGCATTAGGTGTCGATGATGAAGAAACAAAAGTGGATTTGAATGAAATGGATCCATCACTTCCAGTGAATCATATTGAAACGCCAAAAATATCTGGACAAGATTTAAAGCTTATGATGCTTGCATTTATGGAACAGCTTCCATGGCTAATCAATCGGGATTTAATCGACAAGGCTGCACTTGACTTCGTTACGAATCTGAACACCAGGAACAACAGGAAAAAACTCTGCCAAAGTAAAATATTGAATTTCTGTAGAAATTCTCGTTTTTTGTTGAGGACTACGATCACAGTGTTAACGTGAACAATATTACGCATGGGGTTTAATTTATATTAAGTGGAATGTAATTCACTTGAATTCATTTATCACGTTCTTTTCTTAATTATTGTTCAGTGATGCTGGAACAGTATCGAAATCGATTAGATTTGCTTCCATTCTATGGTCGTCTGGTGGCAACACTGGAACCAGTTATGCCTGATTTGGCTCTTGAACTTTCTCATGCATTACTTCAACAGTTTCGGGCAGCTGTACAGAATAAGAAAAGACAACGTGTTGACTGGAAAATAAGATGTGCTCGATTCATTTCTGAACTGGTTTGTGTTCAATGATATATTTCTTATATTTCGGCTCACAAGTGATCTTAATACCTTGAGGTTCAGTGGACTTCTGCTAATTTGTGATTCGATGGATTTGTGCTTTGGAGTAAACTTTTAATTTCCTACATTTTTTTAAGGTGAAGTTCGGCATAATACCGAAAGGCGAAGGCCTTTCTTGTTTGCGGATGGTGCTTTTTGATTTCCGTGGTCATAATATCGATATGTGCTGTGCAATAATTGATGCAATGGGACAGTTTTTATATCGTTCAACGGACAGTCATGGAAAAATGAAAATCTTGCTTGGCGTTATGATGAAGAAGCGAGATCGTGTCAGTGATCCGCGACAACAGGTAAAAGTAATCTTTTTAGGGGGATTTTGAATCTTGTTAAAGATCTTTTCACCCTTTCATGAGGTTTTATCATTTTTTTCATTATTGTAGTGTGCGTCTTTATTATACTTATATTCAAGAGGAAGGCATAATTTCAGTATTTGTTAAACATGCAAATAAGTCATTAATTTCTGACTTTACTTTCGTATTTTTGTATTTTTAGATGCTGATAGATAATGCGTTCTACACTTGCATACCACCACCAGTGGAAGAAAAACCAAAATCTGCAAGCGACCCTTTTCAAGATTTTATTCGTTACTTAATAAGTAATTTGTCACGTTACCGGATGGAAATAACTATACGGTGTCTCAGGAAATTAGACTGGTCTGATCCTGTTTATGCTAGTTAGTTGTTTTGACTTCAGAAAATATGCTGTCATTAATTTTTGGGATGAAACAACACTGAAATCGAAGGAAGTTCATTCTGGAAGAATCGGCTATTAGAAACTAAAATTGGTGACGAATGACCGAACATTTCACACTTATGTTGCTTCATGATATACGACATATTTAGATTATGCAGTTCAGTGCCTCAGTAATCCATCTCTACCACGGTACAATAATGTGCCATATCTTGCTTCACTTATAGCAGCGCTTTCATCATGTCATGATTGGATTGGTAAGTTTTATTCTGTAAAAAGGCTATACCGCAAGGAATATAACATCATACTTGATTGAACCGAATATTTTCGATTTTCGACTCCATCGACACTCTGAATTTTAGTTTGTGTTTACTGCATCAAGTGCCAGTTCCAACAAAACTTTTAAGGTATTCGAGTACTCGACCAAACACTTGAAGACATTCGCATCGCACTGGAAGTAAATAGTCCATCTCTCCATCAGAGGACAGTGCTCTCAGTGATATTTTTGGGTCAACTGTATAATTACAGTGTATGTGACTCTCCCGTTATATTTAAGGTACTACTGAAAAGTGATATTATTTCCAGTCAATATAATGGATGAGACAACGAATGCATTAAAAATGTTCTACGTTATTCCCTTATTGCTTTTGGGTTGTTAATGGATGAATTGAGTGAAGCACAGCAAAGAGTATATTTGTTAAAATTTTCTATGCAAGCTAAAAGAAAATTAGCAAATGACGGTCTATTCTTGGTAATAGATCAGTGAGTTTATACTGACTTAAAATTTACAATTTAGACTTTGTATCAGCTGATCACTTTTGGTGCTTTCGATCCATTGCTAGATGACTGGAGCGATCTGACACGAATTGGTCTTGTTTGTGAATTGCTTCTAATTTGTGGCGAATATTTTAATGTTGGTTCAGCTAAGAAAAAATTGGATTGCTTTTTAGCATATTTTTACCGGTATTTGCTGGCTAAAGAAGAAGCATTCAAAGCTCGCGATATTGTTTTTCCCAAGAATGTACGTTGCTAACGTTTACTTGTATAATCCTCAGACTTCGTTGCATTTCGCTTAATAATTCATGAATGCATCTGTTATTTCGACATTTAAGGTGCGTTTTCGTGTGGACGAGATGAATGATTATGTACGAAAAGGCATTAAAATCCCGGAATCTTTCGACGAAGCACAACGAATTGTTGATGGAATTCAGCAGCAGTACGGAAAAATGGTTTTATTTTTGCTTATCTCGAAAAATATTGGGTAAAACGAGTTTTCTGTAAATTCTTTATTTTTTAGGCTTCATAAACTGGAGATTTTAGTTTCCAGAATACTGATGTGAAAGTATTGAAAAATTGCAGGTGCCCTTTAGTTGCTGTCATAAAATCAAAAAAAAAAGTCATTTTAACGAAGAATTCATATTGTTCTAGGGAAGATTATTCATTATAAGTACTGATAAGAGGAAAAATTAAAATACAATGAAAAATATGAGTACAGACATACGTTCGCAGAGTGAAATAGTCATATCTTGCAACATTTTTTTTTTTTTTTTTTTGTTGAACTACTGTTTATCGGTAGCAAGAAAATAATTTTTTATCCTGGTCTACCGTTTTTGTTAGTGGATTCATACCCTTCTCTTACAATTTCCAAAAAATTATAGTAGATTATTTGATGCATTAATTCTAACTATCAAAACTACTGTTTTCAAAAGTGACCCTATGTTTGCTTTTTTCTTTTAGTTATTCTTTTAAAAAAATTATCATGACAAATAGATATACTTGTAAGCTCTGTTCTCGAACTGAAGCGCAGGATCTACATTTTTTTTTTTTTTTTTTTTTTTTTTGTACAAGGTTTTTGAAATATGAAATTTGATTAGTTTATTGGTGTATATAATCAAATTTCCTATGCAAAATAGTAGTTTGGGCGTATTTTCGAAAGTAGTATCCGAGATGTCCTTACTTTTGATGATTGTTGACATGAAAAAGATGAATATTGTGTGTCTTGTCTTTTACTGATGATTTCTTTACGATTTCTCAAGTCCATATTATAGTGCTAGATAGCATCTAAACTTGCGCATTTCACAATAGGTTGAGTATGTAGGTTTTGTGCAGTATAGGGAAGCCTGAAAATAGCGAAGGTAGAAATGTAAATACTGCAGATATAAAACGATATTGACAATTAGTGAAACTTTGCATGTATGAGGACTATCTAATCTCATTTATATGTTTAGGTAGATGCAGCGCGTGAAGGAAAAGTAGACCACCAAACAGAAGAAGTAATAGACGAAGAGGAAGAAGAACCACGAAAGATAGACTGTGCCCTTGAAACCGGCAGAGACAATATCAGTAGCAGGTTTATAGCAAATTTTAGTAAATATAATGCTAGCGTTCAAGTCTTGGGATTGATAATAATGAAGTTGATAATGAATCTCTTGAATTCAAATTTTCATCATTTACGATTATTCAGTAGAACAGGAGGGTACTTCCCATCTTTGTGAAACATTATTTATGTGCCACAAGAAAAAAAGTGTTCCAGTCTAATTAATTTGTGTAAATTACGCTACCTAAAGCACCACTTACGCTTATTGTCTAATATGCATATCTTAAATATGCATATCTCATATCTTAAAGAACTTAGATATTTTAATAACAGTGAGTTCATTTTGATCAGACAAAAAATAAAGTGTTCAGTTAGTGCAGTGCATCTCTTATAAACCGATTAAGTTGTAGGAACTAAGGATTTGAAATAATTGCTACTAAAGGACTTTGATCTGGAATTTATTGAGAATTCTCCTTGATGACTACATTTTAGACTCCAACACTGAGTTTGATGGATAATAGCATTTGAGAATCGAAATCTAGGCTAATGCACCAATTCATAATCATCTGTACATTAATGTCTGTTGTTGTTGGTTCACTAGATCTGTTTTTCAAACAAATTTTCCATGAAATTTATAGTTTTCAAACCATAATCTGAATTCTTCATAATAATATAGATGGTTAGAAAAAAAAAACTATCGGATATGCTGCGGTGATAGAGAAGGAAGTAGAAGATGCCAGAGAAAAAGTAGAAAGAGCTGCTGTAAAAAAAAATGTCAAAAAGTCGTATTGTTTCGAAGTCTGAGAATCGAAGTAATTTTATTTTGCTAAATTATGAGTAAGGATAGTTAGAAATTTCGAAATGATTTAAAAGGATTTATATAATACTAAAGTGATTTATGTAGTCGTAAGGTAGTCCACAAGTGTGATCAAACTCTCTCAATGAAGTAAATGAGAAAGAACAAAACATATTCCCATTATACTGCACTATGTGCATTTAATTAAAATCACTGTTTTGTAACATTTGGATGTTTTCAAGGTACTAATGGTTTTTAAATAACCTAACTGGAAATGAGCAAAGAATCTGCTAACAGTTTAAACAAAAAAAAATGATCATTTCGTAGCATGGACGAATTGTTTTACTAATTCAAATCAAAGTTATTCCTAAAGCCTATGAAAGATTACTTGAAGCAAGAATCATTTTTAATAGATTGGTATCATTAAGGCGATTAAACAAGCTTAATCTGTCCCTTTCCCTTGTTGAAAATTATTCCAAATGAATTTTCTTGTACGAAGTTATTCAGTGTTAAAAAATTACGTTTCATTGAAGAAAGGTTTTTCACAATTTGTGCTTTTGCAGTGAAGAGATTGTTGTATCAATTTATGATGAAAATGAAAGCGTTCGTGTGCATACAAACCGTGTTATGCTACCCGAAGACGAACTGTTTGTACGTCAACTTGAGCAAATAATTGCAGAAACAATGCAGGTAAGCTATATTTACTCATTTTGTTGCTTTTCATATTCTCATTTCTTACATTTTATCCTCATAAAGTTTTTTGGTTTACATTTCGGAGCGGCAGCAAAACACGTAAATTCTAAAATAAGTGAGTTTTTGCTTAATGAATACCCGTAGTGATTTTTTTTTATGAAATGCTTGACATTATTAGCATTTAGAATAATGCAAACTAGGATTTGTTATTGTGAAAAAAGATGCATTAATACAAGTCGTTCTTAGTGATGTAGTGGGAAATGGAAGAAAGATATGGTTTGAAGTAGAAAGTAATATTAGGAAAACTCAATATTTATATGATTCTATCTCAAAACTATTTTCACACGTTTGTCGTAAATGGTGTCCTCTTTTTTAGTTCTTGTTATATTTTGTAAAAATACAGAGGGGAAAATTAGTTTCAGTTTGTTTGGAATACAATTTGGGCTATTTCATTTAGTTTAATTCACTGAAGCGGTATTTTATCATTTGGGGGACAACATACCCGCCAACTCACTTTTAAAATGACATATGTGATGCAAACCAGCTTTTTATCGACACTAATGAGAGCTTTTATTCATTTTACTGATTCATTTGCGCAGGGAATGTTGTAGTTTGGGACTTTAACGAGAACAGTTCATTTCACTTCAAATTTGTCGAAGCCAAACTGAATAACAGTTTTGCAGAGTAGGGCAAATGCCGTAAGTGTTCCAGTTTCGGAAATAGTAGTACCGACATCTGCACGTCAAAAATTTCATAGAAGCATTGCATTTGGTATGTTTTTTATTAATTATAATATTTTGGTAGTTTTCATAATGTACAGCTTAAAGTAACAATATAGGATGCCTTTCTGTGTGTGAGTCTGGAACTACATTGTGGAATTTTAATATCTTCTTATAGTTATATGCACGAATGATATCGTTGGATTAACATTTGTAGTATTTCAGATGCAAGCGCTACTAAGTCTGATGATGCATCAAAACCGGGAACAGAAACGAGAATGGCGATTTTAACGCGAGGAAAAGGAAATAAAACAGTAACTTGGATTTTTTTTTTTCTGTCAGAGTTTTTGATCACTTGTCCTTCTTTCTTGTTTGCCAATTATCTGAAGCTGAGTTGAGATGTAAGGAAGTGTAATTGCTCAGGTGCTGAAGGCGATAGCAATGGATGCACCGAGTTTTCTGACGGAAACATGGAATGCACAACGGGAGAAAGAACGTAAAGAACTGACCGCTCATAAGCACATAACGCTGAGTATGAATGAACGAATGATGATGGATGATGATGAATCTTTATCAGAATAAGATACATCTCGTTTGTGTTTCTAATGCTGAAATATAACCTTCATTGGACGGATCATATCCGCCGAGATGTCCGTGATATCCAGTAGCCAGGTATCCGGATTAATCAGAATTAATCAGAAAGACACCACGAACCGAAAGTCAATGATTTTTTTGGTACTCTGGTCGCTGAAGCTTGTGTAGTCGCATGTGGAAATCGATCGTTAACGATTCAGCACGAATCTTTCATTTGTCGGTAATTATATTACATATTATACTCGTTGCACAGAATTTCTGAGAAGATAGATTCTTCATAGTTATTACTTCATTTCATTATTTCACACTTTTTTTTTTCTGTATAAGCTAAGGTAGTTAATTTGTGTCAGCTCTATAAAGCAGTTAAAATATTTATGGGTGAAAACGATATTTAACATTCTGTGTAAGAAATAGTTCCAGATGACGTTCTGTATCTGTCTCAGTAGTGTGAAATAAGAGATAGTGCTGTTTAGTTGATACTGTTGTAAATGTAAAAAATGATAAATCAGCAGATTAGAATGTCAATGTGTGACGGTTTATCAATTCATAGTGGTTCTTGTCGCTGTATTACATCTGTCGAAAGTGCATACACATACGTGTAGCAGTACTGATGTTCTTGTGTCATATCCAGTTGAACGTTACGTGTCAAATTTGGAACATTTTTACCTGCAGTATGTTGAAAACATTCCTGCCGACCACATCCAGCACCAAACCAGTAAAAGGCATTACCTCTGTTATTCATCGCTATCGTTACGCATACATTTTGATTCTGTTCACTTTGTATCGGTACTGTGAGACAAATCGGACGTGGTAATTGTGCAGTAGCGTGGAATTTATCAAGTTGAATAGCATTTTGATGGGTGCTGCTGCTAGTTGACATGTCATGCAGGTCAAGGCGAAGTAGATGGTCAATGTAGTGGTGCTCTTGCTTAGAGAGGATGGTTTTGAATTTGAGCTTAAAACGTCTAGTCCTTTTTGCTGGCGGTGATGTATAAGCGGATAAAACATTGAAGTGTGCTTAGTTGGAACAATCATTGTTTTTAGTAGATACCGTGATTAAATCTTAATGCAGATAGGATGCGATGAATCGGTTTGCTTACATTTTTATCTCCCACCTCTCAGAGCGTAATTTTCTGAAGGTGGAGTTTCGCTTTCGTCAAATTCAAATTGTAAATCCGTTCCTTTTCCACAATTGGCTTGGTTATCTCTACATGTCTGGAATTGTGTGTTAACGACAACTTTCATCGAGATAGGTTTTTGAATTAGGAAGAGCTTAAATAATGGTTTTCCCTCATAAAGCTTTAGATGGGTGACAAGGCCCAGCTGTCACTGTCACAAGTTTTATACATATTACTCATACGAGCAGCGGATAGAACAAAGAATCGAATTGGATTTGTGCAAATGAATTGTATATATAATTTGTCAACACAAATTCATATATATATGTTTGCACAAACGTTCTTTGCTGGGTACGGTGATGCAAGGATATGTTTTTGAAAGAAAATTTATCAGCATGGGAACTTAGAAATTCACGAATGTAAACATAAGGAATTCGAAACAGTTTCACTATTTCGAGTTTACTTCGTTTACAAATACTGGTTCAAAAGTTCACAGCTGCTCTTCCAATAAATTCCTTAAAAACTTGTCCACTTAATAACAACCGTAGTTCTTTGTGACCGTTCACATTGTGGATTTATTGCCCAGTTATGTACACAATGCACATAAAACCACACATTACCTCGAGAGGGATGCCATAGTTTTGTAACAGTTAAATCAAAGACACCCCAGATTTTAACATGAAGATAACGAATAAAATATTTACAGAAAACTTCGGATCCCGAAGTGGCAAACATTAGGAAATTCTTACTATTACTATGAGACGCAGTGAAATATCGCAGAGTAGTAAGAAACCGGTAATAAATTTATTCAGGACCATGAAAAAGTGTTCCCAAGAAATGCAAGAACTCGATATTAAGGAAAAAAATGGAATTAGTGATTTATTGAAATCAAAGTAGCTATAGAAAAGCACCGTCAATAAAAATCAACAGTGTGAAAGGAAATATTGTTGGATCAGTTTAAACTAGTGAAATTAATAATATACTGTAGTGCTGCGATGATTCTCATACCATAAGATGGAGGATTTTTCATAAGATTTTCTGAAGACTGAAATATTTCTCACCTTCTACGAAAAAAAGGAAGTGATAAAACGAGGAAAGAAAACATATGCGTTGCTAACATTCAAAAAAAATGTTTAGGAGCACTTTTGTCAGATAAACACATATTCTGTATGCCAATTTAACAAAAAGAATGAAACAAAATAAAGAAAACAATTTTTACTATGGAAAAAACAACAGAACGTCTCTATTGTTCATTCCCTCAGTCATAACAAAGAATTGTGATAATGACTGCAGTGATAATCATAAGAATAAATAATTGAAAATAACGCGTTAGTAACATCGAAAAGAGCACTGTGAAGGAAGGCAATGGATTTAGCTTTTTGAAAGTTGGTTCGAAAGCCAATCCAAACCTTCATATAGACCATGTCCTTGCGTTGCACAAGTTGCTTGGATATACCACTGCAACGGGAAAAAAAATTATGCAGCTCAAATGACACATTATTATAAAATATTTAAGATACTCTACTATCATTACGAAAAAAACATTTCTAACGATTCACACTACTACCATTAAATCTACATGCCAATAATACATTATGGCATATAAAGACTGCTTTTGATACAGATCTTTAAACTGACTAAGTTCACCTCATTATTTCATGCCGACACTGTTAAAAAGTGCTCTGTAACAGAAAGATGAAAATTCCCGAAGAACTAAGGAAACTCTTAAAACCATAAAAGAAAGCCCAACCTGTCGTGATCGCAGATTATGAAGACCAAGCTTATCAGTTAATTCAGCGGCACTCATAGCATTTGGCAAATCTTGCTTATTTGCAAAAACAAGCAAAGTAGCATCTCGAAGTTCGTCCTGAAAAAACCAATAATGATGAACTTCTCAGAAGCACGAAAAAAAAAATAAAATAAAGACGAACTGATGCAAATTTTCTGATAGCACAACAAACAAAGCAGAATTTCTTCAAAAAAATGAAATCCCAGTTAGCTCAAAAAGTTATTCAATAGCAAAGTAGTCGCACCAGGCAAAGAATAAAATTCTCTAACTCTTTGTAAAATCTGTAAAAATAAGTAATGAACTACTGATACTTCTCACAACAAAATGCATTTTCGTATTCAATGAGAAACGTAAAAATGTAGAAACCTCCGAAAGCATCTTATGCAGTTCAGCTCGGCTTTCTTCAATACGTTCTCTGTCGTTGCTATCGACAACAAAGATTAAGCCCTGCAACACGCAACAATACACGTTGCCACAACCCAAATAAAAGACAAATCCTTTGTGAAACAATAACCACTCAAGTCGAATTTTCATTTGAGAACATATTCCAATTAGACAAGCCGATATTCACAGTAAAACATTTTTTTGATGTCTTTTAACCAACAACGAATTCTTAATCTGGAAGATATCTGTAACCGGATCGATAAATTACATGAAGTGCTGACTGTGCAATCAGAATCCAAGTCAACCAATCTAACTTGATAGAATTATTGATGCTTGAGAAATAAAAATCAGCTGAGAAATAAGGCGTACTATTGTGAGATGATCTTGAAACGTTACTTCTATCAGTCGAATTTTAAACTGAATTTGAAAAAGTTACAAATTTATATACATAAAATGTGTACCTGTAAAATGATTTGTAGGTACACATCAGTATGCATAGCTTAATTGATTTTTCTCTTTTATCCATTTAGTACAGTCATCTCTAACTGCATCTTAGAATAACTTATTCTTGCGTTTCCGGAGTTTTCCGATTTATTAAAATTCCTAGTGACGAAAACCCCAGCCAGAAACACAGCAGGCCAAGTTCGCCCTAATCGAATATTTCCTAAAATTGCGCCAGTTCTGGATGTCCACCTCTCCCCTAGTTGAAGTATCAGATTTTCAAAATCAATTAAAAAGTATACTGTACCTGAGAAAAATCTGTAGTAATAACAAAATAACTTTGCAGATACAATGAATAAAAAGAATTGAAAACAGTCTCGTTGAAAAATCACCTGTGTATTTTGGAAATAGTGTCTCCAAAGTGGGCGGATTTTATCTTGACCGCCAACATCCCAAACTGTGAAAGAAATATTCTTATACTCTACTGTTTCCACATTAAATCCTGCAATCAATTTATTAGTCTCTTTTATGTTCCATTTCCCTAGCATTTGTTACCAAAAACAAAATAAACGGTTACTTTACTCGGCCTCATCACCAACATTGTTTGATTTATACGTAAATATGTATAAAATAATAATTATGATGCCTTCAAAACATTCACAGTTATTAATTAAACGAAGACAAACAAACCAATAGTTGGAATAGTAGTAACAATTTCACCCAACTTCAATTTATACAAAATGGTCGTTTTCCCTGCAGCATCCAAACCAACCATCAAAATTCGTACCTGCTTCTTGCCAAAGAGACGCCCAAAGAGGCCTGATATCGTCAGCCCCATTATAAACCAATTTTTCTCCGGTCAAATATTGTCTGCAATAACTTCACACTCGATCGTGTTGGGGAACAATGGAGCGATGAACGTTCTATTTAATAAACGAATTAATACAGACAACTTTACACAAAACAAATGCAAAAATCTTTTGGTTGAAAAGCATCCTGAGTTAAGTTTAAAAATCGCAGAAAATCATTTTGTTATCAATAAAAATATAGCAGGAGTATAAATCATTCGCTCAGAGGTTTTATATATTCTAATATTTCGATAACTATAAAAATAGCAAAAGAACCCAATTCAAAACACACAAAACGACCTTTTATTAGTGGTTCGATATCGCTTGGAGAACGACTTAGTCTAGAGTTTCAAAACCAGAATGCACAACCCACTATTCAGGTTGTACGACAATAGGTTTGAGTATATAACAGCCGTAATTAAAAATATGACTGCTATAAATAGATAATGATTAAATTCCCTTTTGTGAACGAATACTTCCAGTTCATCAACAAGTGTATAATAGCGAGATATTTCTAAACGATCTGTCCCCTTCCGTTTCTTACAAATCTTCAGTGCTTTTACTGTCAACCAAATAAATCGCGAGGAGATAAAGCGACAAATCATTATACTCTGCCTTGCTAGCCTCATTGAGTTGGGAAGGTAGTTTTTTTAATAAACAAAATCCATTCCATTTTTATGAGACAAAACTGTCAATTTCTTAAGTTCTAAGATATCATACGCCACATTATATTCCTGCAGACAACGCGATTCACTGCTAGATATGACCCTAACTGAACGATCTGCAAAAGTTCAACGACAAACACTAGAAAGTTCTCATAACCCCATTTACGTAGTAGGCCAAAAATAAAAGTCCTCCCTACCCAACATCCAACTTCTGGTTATTCAGTCAAGCGAAACCCACCACCCCGCCATATGACCAATCAACGTAACTCCTCCAAATACAATAATAAAGAAGTCCCACGTCGACCGTGACACAAATAGCCTTTATGAAACTGCTCAGACCACGGTTGTCATGACTGTTTTCTTCCTAGCGCTCCCAGCAAAGACGAAACATGTTGTAGAGGACAACATTTAGTAGTACCATTAAATTTCACTGCTGAGCAAAATTAGGATTTTCTAAGAAGACATGACTGTTTCAGCTGATAAAACTCAACAGACTTCATGAAGAATTTTGGAAATGAAACTGCGCAAACATTGAGCAATCAGACTAAACAGTGCAGTAAATTCCAAGGGGAGATGACATAAGATAACCACAGACAAAACAGAAACGTCGTTTCGAAATCGAACTGGCAATCTCTGAAATGGTGGGCTTGCTGAAACCTTCGGATTCATGGTTCCCTAAATAAGTATCCACTCGGATAGTTGAAAAAATAGATTCTGATATGAACGGGAGCGAGGTAAATGACGAAATCAGATCTAAGCAGTTTAAATTTAAGCTTGCGTAGAAAAAACCCTTGGACCTCACCAATATAATCTACAATCTAAAACTTTTGCCTTAGAACTTGAGATGGGTTTAGCCACTTTTTCAGTTTGCTAACTTTTTTAAATATCACAGCCACAATAATACTTAGAAAAAGCATACTGTGGCAGGTAATTTTAGAGTGAAGTAGTTGCACACAACGTATAATCACATTCCAGTTACTTGGCAGTATAGTACTGAAAATTCGCTTAGTGTTGGTCGCGTTTCTTAAACATTTAATGTCATATAATAAATCCAGTTAGGCTTAATCCATTTCAAGTAGTATGTTTAATTACTCACATAGACCGAGCAAAGCAGACGATAGGATACATTATTTGGAAAGGAATTAGATAAGAATTTATCTTAATCACCAAATATCACTTCATAATCAAATAAAAAGCTTCCAAAATAAGCAGCTAATTGCTCGAAATACAGGAAAAGGGGTCTATTCATTCAAGACGTTAAGTAACATACGAGCTTAAAGCGTAGGAAAAACTCTAAAATTTGGAGATTTACAACAGTAACATTTCAAATGAAAAATCCTTCAATAGGTCAGATAGACAATTTTTCATAGTCATTACAGCAAACAGTTAAAACGATCCGATAGTAAGGTTAGTCTAACAGCTGCTTTCACTGAGCCCAGTATTCGTAAGGAACCATTCAAATAAGCCTGCATTGGACTTACTTCTTTCTTTAAAATTCTAAACAGCAGCTCACGATTCAAGCACAAAGCAACATCAGCTGTCGAATTGATACCTTTGCAACACTTCCCAGAGCCGTTTTTTAAATCCACATAAAATTCACCAAATCCAATACAGTTCACTTGGAAGATATATCCTACAGAGGCGACCAATTGCTTATCGATAACCATTGTTAAAGAACAGAGCAAACGGTCAATATCCAAATTTTCTAATGAATCATTTAAAACGTATCTTAATTCGTCCTCTTCGCATAACACTGCTCCAAATAAATCAGTTTTGTCCTTTTCTGTATCACTTCCGATTTGCTGATGATCTGGTTGTCGTTTTTGCTCTTGTTGTACAACAAATTCCTGTGCTGCTCCTTTCACCGTTTCAATGATTCGAGAACCTAGTTCCGATTTCAATACCTAAACTTCAGATTCGAATTACTGTCTGTCTCACAAATAACACAAACTTGTTATCTGTTTGTATGGATCTTGCAGGATTAGCATAATCATCAAGTTTCAGATTTTAGTTTATTGTACAAAGTTAATGGTTGCATCATAAAAGTTTGGTTCTCATTTTTGTATCCGAAAAAGAAAATGCAAATACTTCGAGAGTTTAAATCAAAGTTGCAAAATTATGATTGTAGCTAATGTAAGTGATAATGCCAACACATGACCAACCTACTTTATTGAATGCAGCTAAAGTCATGTTCTCGCCTTCTTTAATCACTTTAACGTCCGATAATTCTATTTTAGTGATTTCAACACCCCAGGCAGTCGTGAGCACGCCAAGTTCAACCTGCATAAAAATCGTTATAATTGGCACATGCAAACGGCGGATTGAACTGTTAGAGTTATTTCAGAACGCACTCTAAAATTTCTAAATCGTTTCTTTCATAACTCTCATTTAAAATAGTTTTTTTATTTAATTTAGTTACGAATCTGGAAGAAAAAGTATACGAGTAACTAATCAGTTCGTCTCTAAAAACTCGGTCTTGAAAACTTATTTCCTTGCAATTGTCTTGTCATTATGCTAAGGATGACTGAAAACATTTTTAAAAATTTAAGGACCTGAAGGTTCTCGCATAACTGTCTACGACCTAAGCTCGATGTGACATCATTAACTCGTCGTTTACAAACCAAACGATGCAGCGTTGCAACAGATAAGACACGGGTTGATCGATTTCGTTCTTGCACTGCACAAACTGCTGCCAGTGCGTCTTTCACCTAAACAGTTTGACAAAAGCTAATAACGACAATCTCCTCTGTCTCCTCTTATGATTCTAAATAAAGCATAATGGTGATAACAGTAGAGAATTACTGAGAACAAGTCCTGAAAATTTCAAGCAATCCAAGAAGATATGGCACCCAATAACTTCGTCTCTTTAGATTTAGTCAAGGGAAGCATATCCAGGAGAGATGCTGCAATTGCTCGTAAATGAAATGTAAAGTGCTACTGATGGAACCACCCCACATGAATCATCCACAAAGCAGACTTCTGACAATTAGTTATGATATATTATTCGCTATTTTTCACTATTTTGGTCTTGAAAGTAAAGTGATTCAAGATAAGCAGATCAACTTTTACTTGCGAGAAAACAGTAGCTCCAAGCTCCACTAGACCCCGATCAAAAGTTATTATTTGCATAGGCGGTACGTTAAATGCATTCACACGAAGATCCACTTTTGTGAACGTATCTATACATGGTAGCACTACAGTTGCACCTGGCCCACGTATTTTTTGTGCTCGACCAAGCCGGAGTACAACAAGTTGTTCAAAATCACCAACAAACTGAAATTTACTAAATTGAAAAGTAAAATGTACTATCCTTTCGGCATTTTCAGCGGTTTCTTCAGAAACCAAAACCATCGGACTATTTAAACTGAACATACTTCATCATTGGATCTAGTAAATATAAATCCGGAACTAAACGGGTCGAAATAGCCTTAATTAAATGTTGAAGTTAGAAATTCATACATGTCACAAACAGGCATTTAAAATGAGACCAGCATACATAATGTCATAATATAATAAAGGGTTTAAGAAACAACCTTCAGTGAAAAAATAAGGGAAAAAGGAAGCGTCATTAGAAACAGCAGAAATGCCAATACAACAAAAATACTTTCCACGGCAGCGGTATGTGCAGTAGGTGGCGTTCTTTCCATAAGTTCTATCCCAGTAGCAGAGTAGGAATACCGGCAGTATCGTGGACCAATCTATAAACAGCAACTGAAACGAACTGTTTCATCTTCGTAAATTATCTTGAATCTAACAACATTCCAAGATTTCTGGAAAGTTAATAGCGTACACTTCTTGACTCTCGATCTTTCCGAAAAACAGAATACCGTATCTTCATAATTGGCAGATATATCACAAATTTAACGTAATCACCGACGGCTGCGATTTCATTTCGAAGGAAATGAGTAACAATGGAAAAATAAAATTCAATAACCATAACAACAAACCTGAGTTGAATAACGTTTCGGAGCCTTGTATCCCATTTTGTCGAGATCATTATACGGAGCGTAGGTGAAAGCTGAACGATATTTATAACGCCAATCCTCCTCTTTCAAAGCTTCTTCATTCATTCTTCTCTTTTAGTGTTTCTCAAATATTTCGGATTGATGCGCAAACTCAGGATCACCGTTATTTAGATGGATTTGGCTGGAAGAACACAATAATACCAGTGAGGAATACCCTCCACCGATCAATAGCAATAAGTCAGCCATCAACAACAACTGCACGGCCTCCACTGGCAGCTAACAGCGAAGATAAAAGCGTACGAGCTGGCTGCTGCATTAGATGAGAAGTGCGTGGTAATTGACTGCACAGCTAGAAAGAACTCTGTCTGATTTGAAGCTAACTCTTAATAGAGCAGAATGCCAGGTGAAGGGAATCTCGTGTCTGTCACTCAGTAATGCGAGAATAAAACACTTCGTTGTGATGCATTAGGAAATGGGAAGTCTCTTGACAGTTTCAGTCCCTGCGTTTGATTTCTGCATTAGCACTAATAGTATACTTTTAATCTACGATTCTAAGCAAGAAAGAATATGATCAAAGTATAATCGATTATTGATGGGTATGATCAAAGTGGTAATCGATTATTAATGCAAAATAGTGATTGGAGGGATTTTGTAAGCAATATTCTATGAGAAATGAACTGAAAAGAAAAAATAACCTGAAATGGCTGATAAATGCAATTGATATGATCCGACTAATAATTTTTACTTAGCTTTATTATATTTGCTCAATTTTATTTAATTGTACATTTCGAATGGAACTATCATGCTTCATTTATTCCTGTTTTTTTTGAATTTGAATTTTCGGCATTTGCATTCTCGTTACTGTTTTTAGATGGTGATCGTTCTTTTGCGTTTTGAAAAAAGACCTAAAGCAATATTGACTATATGTATCATAAATTCAGTTCGAATATTCGCTGCATGCTTCTTAAAAACTTCAGTCAGAATGGAATTAAAGCAAATAATAAGTAGCTGATAGAATCCCGGCACATACATGCAGTAGAAGCGGTAGGAGATAGGTTACATATGTAAAATCGCCGGTCACCTACTTAGTGAAAGATTTAAACGACACGGTTTCACAGCAAACTTCTAGAAACCATTTGCCTGACCTTCATATTAGCCTGAATACTGAAGATACACACCGAAATCTAGTAACTGCTGTGTCATCGGTATAGTTAAATTTCATTAAATCATATCTTTAGTACCAGGACAGAAATTAGAAAATTTAAATGAGAACTTCATTAACTGCAGAAGTATACTATTAAACACATACTTTCATTCGAAGTTCTCCTTGTGGAGGCCCATAATGTTCAGCCCAAGCACCAGCGCATGTTGCTCCTTCCGGTGCTGGTATATGATAGATACCAAAGTGATGTCTATCAGATTCCGGTACTTGATTGTTAACGCATCTACAAAAAACCATTATTAAACTCTTTTTTCATATAAAGTGTCAAAAATTACGCTTATTATGCAGTAACTAAAAATACTGCTTTTTCTGCCAACTCCCTCCCTGCAGTTTCTTATTTGATGAAAACAAGACAGTGAAATATGAAAATAAAAGATGCTGGACTTGTAAGTAATATCAATACGGATCGTCTGCCCATAATCGAGGATTCCCGTAGCTGGCCTTATACGAAATAAATCATTCCTTGTACACTTTATTTTGAATGCTTGTCGTGAATCACTTTTATTTGTTAGTTTTATAATAGTATGTATCTCGCCCGTAACATCACCAGTAAATGTAAGCTAAAATTTAGTGATCAGCGAGATTTTTTTTTTTTTTCGAGCGATTTCTGTCTCAATTGCTACAGTTTTCCAACTATAAATAATCATTTAAAAAAGGAGCAGACTACTTTATCTCTTGGTTCTATCCTGAGTAAGAAATTACGCTCTGATGCGCTAGAAGTGAATTTCATTCTATCCCATAAAATTAATTTTGTTTTCACCACACGCAGCTTTCAATTTGATAAACAATGAAGTAACGGATTCGTTTTTCTGCATTTATTTTTACAAGAAATAAGTTAAGAATTCATTTAATAGTATTTTAGTAAATTTTTAGGGAAATTTTTTTCCATTCTAATATAAACGAGAAATGAATGAAAAAAAAATATCAGGGTGACCCGACAGCCATGATGATTGGTCAGGCTGTTTATTAACTAATGCGTGTAGCACAAAATTCTCCAATATAATGTCTTTTCGGTAAATTGTGTAAGTAATTTTAGGTTTCTGATTTATCCAAACTTGAATTTGTTTGTTAAGAGCAGTGACTAATTTCAGAATAGTATTACTAGAGAAGCGAGAAAAAAACGGAATTTTTTTCTTTCCTTTTTTCATTAAAAATGTCAACATTTGGAATAGTTGCAAAATAAATCACATGCACTGGACTAAATTAGATATATGCATGAGGAATCTATTAGTCTTTTCCATATTAGCACAAACTCTTTAAGTGTATTGAACTCTTAATGTCGACTGAATTTTTGCTCAGCAAAACTCGTACCTTCAAATTCCTGTTTTCGCTTTTGACCTCTACCTAACTTTCATTCTGGTTTTACTCTGCTGATAAACTACCCATTTTGGATTACATTTCGAACTTAGAGACACAGGAATTCTTCTTTTTCAGTTTCCTCATTTCAGTAATTATTTCTAGTTTGTCAAAGCACAAATTAGATGTTTTTGAGATGTCTGTCGAACTATCATTTTTCTTTTTTAAGGCTATCCTATGATACTGTTACCATGAAACGGAGAGCTTTCCAATTTCATAAGGTATATGCTTGGCTGATACGGATTTCATTTTTGATCTTTCAGCCTCTTCCAGGTGTCTTAAACACTTTGGATAAAATAAAAGCACATCGTCATATCATAACAATCACAGAAGACGATGGAAAAATCTGCTGAAATGTTAAGTGGTGCATGCACTGCTTTCTGATATACTACTCGCCAGTTCAAATGTTAGCTGCTTTTTTTGAATTGTTATCCAAATCGATGGATTCAGATTTAAGTCATTTTATGTATCGAAATAAATTGAATTTTTAACTCCATTTTTCCGATTATTGTTTAAAATACGGACAGAAGCAGACGGAGTGTCCGCTTGATCAATTCTATTGTATTAAATTAATTTTTCGAGGTTGTTTCATAAAAAAAAAAAAACATTTTATCATTTTTTTTACGAAATCTCTTTGTGAAGAGTTTCAAAACTCCAAAATCAGTTAATAAGTTTCGGAGTATTCTTATAGAATTAACTGATACTTCTTTTATATTATAACAACAAATACTTCTATTATTATAATTCTTCTCTTATAATAATATCATTTCTAGCATTTCTGCATGTCTCAAATCTTTTTCACTTACATTTGATGAAAATAGTGGTGCAGAGTTATTTGTCAAAACAAACAGACTGTTCTGAAATTCAATAAAGTTGTTTTATTTCGTATCATCATTCATTAGCAACAGACCTTTTCTCTTGTTACTCGTCCGTTTATCCCGTTAAATTACTGAAAGAATGTGAATTAAAACTCTTAGGAATAGAGAATCTGAGGGCTTGATTAACAGTAAATGTGAAGTGCACGGAGGATGAGCAAACATTAGGATGGGGAGAGTGGAGAGAAGGAAAAGATTTGGCAAACAGTTCTGCTGGGCAGTCGTTTGGAAGATGTAATAAACTGATAAGCATATAATCAGAAATGCAAACAGTGTCATTAGGTCCATTTCGTATTTCCATATCGCGCAATATCTCCCTCGCAGCAAGGCGTTGCTGGTGCGGCATCCTTGGCATTTCATTCATTTTCCCTGTCCAGTTAATTAGGTAAATAGTGAGAGTTTGAGATTCGTGAGGCTTTTTTTTCTCAGGGACACTGGGACTTATTGCAATGGGTGCATTAATTCAACTCAGTCTTATCGAAAATTTTCAAAATTAGTTGTTTTCATTCAATTGCAAGCTATCGCCCAACAGTAGAAGTCGTCGCTAGTACTGGACGACATCTATTCGGCAGCTGAATTGGATTTACGAAACGTTGTCGAAGAGGAAGCAAATACACTAACTTCTGGAAATAACTAGTTTATTTGGGTTTTAATTTCCTCAGTCGTCTTCCACTGGCTTTTGTTTCGTTTTCCAGCACTTTTTCGCGCTAACGTAGCCCTACTTAACTGCATGATTATTTTAACGAATAATTAAAATATTTCTTCTTGCAGACAAGATCCATTTAATTATACCGCTCGTTACTGGTATAAGCTGCTTTATTCTAATAAAGTTGCAATAAGTGAAAATTTCTGTAGACCTATGTCAAATGCAACGATTGAAAATCATTTTTTTCATCTTTTAAAATCAACAATAATAAGCGACATAATTATTTTCAGACACAAATTTCCATTTCTGTTTAAATAACGTCATCTAAATTGAGCAAATGCAGAAAATATGAATGAAAGTAATCAGTAAGACCTCTAACCCTAAAAAGAAAAAAGTGTCAAGAGTTGAAGAAAGAGGCAAAAGAGATAGCTCTTAGGATGGTGTGGTATGAGCAGTAAAACTATCACCCAATTTGATTTACTGCAACAGGCTAATATTTGCACTGTTTTGCAGCAGAAGGCATCTGAGTATCTGAATCGCAATTTATTATTTCTTTTCTGTTTAGCTGTGTAACAAACACATTATTCTGGCAGCCAATGCATCGGGCTAATTACTGATTTCACTCTCGCAGTTTATTGTATCAGTAACAACGATTATATTTCTGTAGCGTTTAAGTGTGAATTTAAAAACTACTTTATTTAGCAATTATTTTAAATCAAGAGTGTCGTGAATAAAATTATGAAATGCATAGAAATGTGAAATGCAAGCTTTAGATTTACACATAAATGTAATATGCTACAATTACAATGGATTCAGAGTTTTATTTTTTATTAAGCATTAGCTCATGTCGTCCTATAACGAAGAACTGATAATCAAAATTGAAGCTAAAAAAAAACTATGAAAAAGCTTTTGCTTTATTGGCTTTCTGTTCACATTATTGTACACTAAATTGTTGTAAATAAATAACTTAATTAATCGAAATGGTGTAGCAAATAATGGCAGATTTCATTTATTTATTATGATAGATTGTTTCTTTTCCATAAAAATGTATGAATGACAAATGGTATCATTGCTAATAATTGTAATGTTACAACTGTATGAAGAATTTGATACTTTCAGGAACATTCCATTTTTTTGCTCTAAGAAAGTGAACACTTCCAACAATACTTCGTAGTTGAAACTTTTTTGATTAATATCGTGCCTGTCGTGCGTAAATTATTTCGCACAACTGTATTCAGTGATAAGGATTTCTTGCAGCGCTATCGTAATTATTATATAATCGTTTCTAATGTTATAAAAATTGTCATGATCGGTTTTCTTAACTTAACTTCATGCAATTAAACTTTGAAAGTACCCATAATTTCTCAGTGTTTGCTTCTCCTAACCAGGATTAAGGTTTTTACTCAGATTAAGTGTTTTTCTTCTCAGTTTGAAGCATTTTTCCACTGATCATTGTTTTATTTGAATTCCAAGCAGTGCTCCACCAAATAATAGCAATAAAAACACTTCTGTTCCTCTGTTATTTTTTGAAATGATATTTGTAGAAGTCGGTATTAATGGTATCTTTTTAAATGTGGACAGGCTACATTATATTCTTTATCATCCGGTTTTCTTCCCTTGATTCATTTCTAATTCATATTAAGATGACATGAATTGTCACTCATTATGACTTCAACTCTACTTCTGTTCGTACCAAAGTAAAATATTTTTCGTTTTATATTTGGTGATGGTCCCATTTGTATTTTGAGCACAAATGATTAATATTAAAATGTTTCATACTTCTTAGCTAATTTATAAAATATTCTCGACTTCATTTAAACAAAATAAAAAGTACTTTAAAAAAAATTTCCACTATTAAAAGCAATAAATTTAGTAATTGTGCACTTATGCAGAAATAAAATTACGCATCATCCGAAGTAGCGTAGGAATTTAATTTTCTTTGGGGAAGTGATACAAACGGACTTACTTTGAAGACATCAGTCAGGAATAAATCTGATTACAACTTTTAAACAACCAGTGCATGACAGCTTAATTAATTCTTCCAATTTCCATTTTATATATTCCTAATTAAATTCAAAGTATGGACAGCATGAGGTTCTGTCTGAATTTTTTATTTGAAACATAGAGAAGTTTCCGTTAATCCTCGTAATTTCATTTATTCTAATAATAAAATTTACCAGTTTTCTAAATGCTGAAAGCAGAAAGCTTACTATTCCGAAAATTTTTATAGAATATGTTTATATGGAAAGTTTACTATGAAATAAAATTTTGTTTTACAACTCTATAAAGGTTAGAAATGCATAGAAATTTCAATCATTCCCTAAATGGATAACTGTTAATTTAGGTCAGTGGCATTAAATTTAAAACGAGATATATTATTCAATCGTGTCTTATTTGACAGCTAATTACCCCAAAATTCATGTTTTTGAGGTAACTAGCTGCCTTTTATGAACATTACAACATTTTCTCCGTAGTTTTACCTATATCACAATTGTCCCTATTTTTGCTCTTTTCATTTTCATTTTTTCTTTTTTTTTTTGTTAATTAATTTTTGTAAGTTTTAAAAACCGTTTGTAATACAACAACAGGCTGTCGATACTTAATTGTTTAGCGTTGCCGAGGTCGAAAATTAACGAATCTTTGCATTTCTAGATATAGTGACGCGATAATCAAGCTACAGTTGAATACGGCAAGGAACTAGGATAGTGGTTATTATACGATAGTTTTCACCTTATAAATTCAAAAAAATACTAAAAATAGGACTGATATTTCAAAACGAGTGTTTTAAGCCTTATCTTAAATAAATTTAGGTTTTCAAAGCAATATAATTTATGCACACAAAATTTTATACAAAGTGAAAAAAAAAATTTTTTTACATGAAAAAAATTTCTTTAGAATTTCGTCCAAGTCGTTTCTTTCCATGAAAATTATCAAATTTGGTTATTTTGGGAGAATGTTAAAGATAGCTACTAATCACTTTTTCAATTCTATTCAGTTTGTGCAGGGCTGATCAATCCTCGGAACTACGTTGCTGCAATTACTATTGAGAAAAATATTAGTCCAGGAAGAAATTTAACATCAATACAGTATAAATGTACACTGGAAACAGAATGTAAATTTTTGCATTTATAATTTCTCGGACGTAGTAGACTTGTTTCTTCCATTCACCCATCTATCGATCTATCTGTCTTTGCTTTATTCCAACTGTCCCTAATGTTGGTGCAGAAAGTTTCTCTCAACTGTTCGATCGATGAAACAATCAATCTTTTCAGGCGAGCAAGTGAGAAAAGAATCATCAATCTTAGCAATCTCAGAACTTCCACGACTGGGCATTAGACCAAAACATTTTTCCTTTCCTCACATCCCGCTCTCTCCCTTTCTGCTCAGCCTTGCCACTTGATCATGTGTTGATCCATTACCACACTCCATCAATAGTTCTCAAACTTTTTTTTTTCATTTTTATTCTTTAATTAACCATTTTATTAATCAGAAGACAGATCGGTTTCAAAATTTCAATGATAAACAATCCAAGAAATGTGGAAAACGAAAACTCAGTAAACATTGCTGTTGTTTTGAACAGCACAGCAATGATTAACACTTAACACTTATCTGACAGTTACATATGCACTTATGACCACCGCAATCCTCGTACTTATTGGATAGTTAACACTAGCTAGTGCTATATTGATATGGACTAAATATTTGGCAGTCTGTATTAAATATGATAGTAATATACTTGGATGATCACAATGACCGTCCATCTTCATTTAGTAATGTTGTTCAATTGATGTTTTAGCAATACCATGATGACAATAGCAAATAAAAGTTGAACTTTCCATCCTTTTTTTCTAAATTCTTATTTATCTGTTGATAATACAATTATTACAAAAACTAGTTTTTTTTATTAATTCGAGAAAGCTGGATGACGCATATGGTCTCACTAGTTATACAATCTCACTAATCACTAAACACTTGAAACCGTCCCTAGTATATGGTTGATTTATATGAGGTATATATAATATCTGTGTAAATGACGACCAACTCTTCCTGTTTTTTCAGGATTAATTTTTCTCCATTTCCTCCGTCCTTTTATCTTTCTGCTTCCTTTCGGATTTTGCGCCTGAATTTCGGAAGTCCGAAATCCCAGTCCAAAACACCTAATGAGCTGCAAAAGCAACATGAATACTATGACACTCAAAAATCAATCAAATGGAAAAATGATGAAGTACTTCCTTTTTTCCCATGGATTTGCTGGGAAAGATTCTCCCAACAATGAAATTATGTTAATACTGCATGAAAAATGGAAGAGTATAATGTGAAAATGAACTATTCCATCTTTTCAATCAAATTTCAGGAATAATTTATGTCCTTCCATGAGATATGAGCAATAATACGGAAAATTCATAAAAAAAAAACAAAAATATGGTCACAACCCATCTAGTTTCAAAGTTATCTCAAAGCCATAACGTATATGCAAGTAAAATATTTGAGTTATAGCGAATTTTGGTTCATTCACCGAGAATTTCAAGTTTGCTATTTAGGCAGCCCAATACACTAACATCCAGGGAAGCGCAAATACTTGCCTACTTTATTAGATATCCACTTGCATTCGAAACAAGAATATATAGCAAAATGGACAGGGAAGTTGAATTCGTACCCCCCTAATCGCTCTTCCTCTGTTTATCTAAGATTAATACCAGTGATTCGGATTAAGTACGAAGTAACTGCCATCTAATCTTAAAAGGTTTTCATTACTCACACTTATAAGAACTTCTATAAAGTTTACTATATTCCACTTTAATTTATAGCTTTGCATATATCATATATATATATATATATATATATATATATATATATATATATATATATATATATATATATATATATATACTGATGGTGACTTCAAACCTTCAAACTGCATTAGACTCATCATTACTTCAGCAAATGCTCTGCTTTGGTGCTGCAATTTCTCGCTTCTTGCTTCTAAATTTCATAGTTTTTTTTATTGAGCTTTCTCATTTTCAGTTTTCTTATATTACATATTTCTGAATACTTACAGAGAAGCAAACCTCGAGGTTGCTGCCTCAAAATTCAAATTCATTTATATAATCAATAATTCTAAGTTTCCGATGAGTCATTCGAAGTTCGTTTAGGCAGTGGACACTGTAGTCTATTGCAGTTGCTGGTTTCAAACCGACAGTCGTAATGTTCCTTTTATTTTCTGGTTAAGAGTTTTCAATGTTGCTAAAATATCGGACGATATTGTTCCACTCCTTACTTGCAGTATATATATGTTTTATTTTAATTAAGGAAATTTGCTGAACTACGTGTAGAATAAAAGCGTTCAAGGCATTATTAATATTAAAACATTTAAAAGGCGAAGTGTTCATCGAAAATATAACTTAAAATTAGTTCGAAACGCAAATTTTTAAATAAAGAAACTAACTAACAAGACTGGCAAGTCATTCTAAATGGTAACCATTTGCATATCATGACTTTTTTAAGCAATTTAGTAATTGCAGAACTATATCCAGAATTTTAATAGTTTAATTGAATTGCAAATATTAAGAGTTGAATATTTTGATGAATATTTTTGGTCACCATAGGTTAATTAACTAAGAATTATTCCATCGTATTTCAACAATGTCAGTTTTTCCATGCGATAACCTACCTTTTGCATTGTTCGTACTGCTCAAACAATCACTGTAAATCCAAAATAAAAAAACTTTCAGATGTGCATTATTCACTACTTATTACTGATTCACTGGCTTCTGTTATTCTCCTCTTTGATAATTGTCAGTGCTGTTATAGATGCTTCATGGTGGTTAGTTGCAATTTTCACGCTGAAGCTGTCATTTGCTTATGTATTAAATTTTTAAATGCACCGTAAATTTATGAAATTTTAAATATAAACTACAAAACAAGTTAATGCTTTACGTAGTGACATCTTCACACTCGTATTCTGCAAAATATCCATTTTTTAAAAAAAAAATTAGACATTATGTAAGTTTAAAAAGTTGTTATAATAAAAAATCAGTTGTTTGACAAATCACTGTAAGCGTAATCAATTAGTAGGCTGTAATCAATGGGTAAATGACTGACAGGTCTGATATCATGAACATTTTGTTTAATCGGACATCGAGCCGTACTACCAACAACGAACAAATTGCTTGAATGGATGATAAATCAGCTGGCTTGTTCTTTGTGTTTCTCAAAAAATCACATTTATGGAAAAAAATTATAGTTATGTTACGGGATTGGAAATTTTCGTCGAAAAATTTTTGTTAACTTGGGTTCTTGTTACCGTAAAATTGCTAAAAGAAAAATTGCATATTCTATGTTCTGGTTTAAAATTTGCCGATATGATTTTAAAAAGGCTTTGCTTGAAATCACATGACTTTTTTATTAAATTATAGGTCTTCAGTTGCCCAACTGAGCACAGCAAATTTACTAGCTGGAAGTAATGCTCGACCGACTTGCTTAACCTTGCAAGGCTTATCGCCAGGACAGGCTCGTATATGCGAACTGTTTCGGGATCACATGCCTGCTGTGGGTGCTGGTGCTAAAGCTGCAATTACAGTTAGTTTCTGTGTTTGTCGTTTCGTTTTACAACACTTCTATAGTTTAGTTGAGCAAAACTGAGACCGTTAATATGATAAAAATTAATGAAAACACTGAATCTATAATAGTTTCCGTTATTACTATTATTTCCCAGACGTATTCCTGAAATATTGGAGAGTAATGGTATAGCCAAAAAATAAATTATGTTAAGGACTATAAATTTTTTGTCAAGAAACTTCTATTGCATAGTTAGCCATAATAGGATGAAGGTTCCAAGCCAATCCGAAAATGTGGTAGGATCTCTTTTTAGTCTTTTGGAGATATATAAACACATGGATGGATTAAGTAACATGGCTCTCGTTTGTTACTAGAGCTTTTGAGAAAGAGATAGAGATTATAGTATTTGAAATTCATAGCTGAAACGGTCTAAAACCAGTTAATAGACTCAGTCTCTTTAAGAATGAAATGACTGAGGGTATAGCACCATGTCGCTATTGAACACTATGTTGGAAACTTTATTACACGTTTGTGGTTATCATTTACTGGTCATTTAATGATAATAATTTAGTCATCTGGTCAAAGATGGATCTAATGTATTGATTTTGGGTACTGATCAACAAGATTTTCTTTCTCCGCTGTGTTTGGCAAAGTTCCTTTGACCGTGTTTGCTAGATAGTAGAGAAGGACAGTGGGAATTTCGTTAATCCATTTATGGCATCACGAATTAAGTAACAAGCGAACTGTTACCTGAAGCATTCCATTTATTACCGCTTTCATTGATTTTCTTCATTTTTGCATTTAGAGCATTGGGCAAAAATCATGAAGAAAAGCATAAAAGAAAAGAGGAGGGAAAAACACGGGGCAGGGAAGGATAGGACAAAGAGAGGAATATTACTTTGATTGTTTCTTGAATTCAGTAAACTGGTTCCCTAGAAAGAGATTTTAATTATAATTCATTAGCATTGTTTTATCATTGAATATTAAAGTAGATACATAGAATGATAGAAAGAGAGGAACTCATGATAGAAAGAGAGGAACTCATAGGAAAAAGAATTTGTAAGGTCGAAATGAATAAAACTGTTTTATTTGCATATAAAATGCGAATCAGAATGTAAAACTACCTTAGATTATCGGTCCGAAATTTTTCGTTTAATTTAAAAGTTGTTCATAATTTTGTCACATTTGTTCCACTATTGGATAATTTTCATTTATTTTTTATTTTTTTATTTTTTTTTTTCATTTTTAGAAAAGAGGAAACGCGAATGGCATAAGAGTAAAAAGATTTTCAGGATCAAAAGGTGATAATTTTCTTACCTGAGCAAATTTCCCTAAACATGATCCAAAACCAGTGATTTTAGAAATTGGTGTAGGAGTGGTATTTCTTTTTGCTTTTGATGTTACTGGGAAGAAAAATTGCAGTTAATCAATTTAAAAAATTAATCGTTTAATTTATATGAAAACACTACCTAGGTGCATGTTACCACTGAGTATCGGCATTATGCGGCATATGCCATATCATGTCATTAAACATAAAATAATGTTATTCAGAACTGAAATTACCAAGATTTGAACTAGGATCACCAATATAAAAACTGTAACGTTTTTAATGCAGTTTCATTGTTTTAAGAAATTTCTCGAAAGTGAGGAAATGATCAACTCTCATTATGATAATGAGATATTTGATCATCAACTAATTAAGGCAAAGTATTTGAAGGAAAGTTAATGTGCTCTTTTTCTGCTTATTTTTAAATTGTGGTGCATTGGTAAGAAGAAAATTCTTGTATGTGTTTGCTTTGTCTTTATACCATATACTTCTTAAACAATTTTCACCAATGAAAATTATAAATAACTACCAACAGTGTTGCTTGACGTGAAAATTGTACATAAAGTTTAGCACTCTTATTATGATAATGAGATATTTGATCAGGTAGGTATAGAATACAGTATAGTGCTGCGATTGATTTGAAGTTAAAAATTAATGTGTTTATAAAAAGTGTGAATTTTCGTTAGATTTTAAAGTGTGAAATTTTCCTTAGCATTTTGAACTTAAACTTTAAACTGTCATTCCATATAAGTTTCTTAAAGGATAGCTATCAATTTTTAAAGTTACTTATCAAGATACTTATTCGTCCTCATGAGTTTTTTTCAGGAATGTCAACATCAGTTTCGTCACCAACGATGGAACTGTTCTACGCCATATGGCTCCAGTTACTTTGGTCCAGTTCATAAAATTGGTTAGCTCTTCAAATCGGTCATTCCAACAAGTTTTGTATTCCAAGTAGAGAACTCGGCAAATGAATATTTGCAGTCGCTGTGTTAGCTGTTACAGAAATCAGACGGACAGTTACGCACGTTTTCTTTTGGAACTTAAATGCAAATACAAAAGTGTAATTTTTACAGCTGTAGGTAAAGTCAGTCTGAGTCCACAGTAAAGTTGATATGTTGCATATCGGTTGTTCCGTCCAGGTGAAATGACAAATTTCATGTATGTGAAAAGCATGTATGGTGCACTTTTTCTTTTGCATGAGTCTCAACATAATGAAGACAAGGCAGTTCATCTAGAGTTTTATCAGTCAAACGATAAATTAATTTAACAGTAGATTAAATGTCGGATGATCATTATCATCATTCCTGAAAATGGAATATTCCCAAAATTGAATATTTTTAGGTTCACGAGAAGCCGCTTATACATATTCGATTCTGTCAGCTGGTGTAACGCATGAGATAGGTCGCCGATGTCGTCTCGGTTTGTTGCAGTCATGTGGTTGTAGTCAGGCACAACGGCCTAGTACTGTTAATGAGAAGTGGACGTGGGGAGGTTGTGGTGATAATATTGAATATGGGTACAGATTTAGTCGTGACTTCATCGATGTTCGAGAAAAAGAAGAGGGATTCCCCAAACGCTCTATTGATCACGGACGTTCACTAATGAACCGGTGGAACAATGAGGTCGGCAGGAGGGTAAGCTCTCATGGTTAATTACTTAGTAAATTATATTAAAACCGCTCATAATTGGATTTTCACATGACTTTCATTTTCCACTCCTAAAAATATTTGTTTTCAAGCCATCCACATGTCCAAATTATTCAAATTTAAATCATTACTCACAGACGTAGTAGAAACTCATTTTTAAGATTTGTTTTTTTTAAGATAACATCACATATTTTTCGTTTTTTAATAAGATAATTTTCAGTTGCTAAAACGAAACACTCGCCCAAAGTGCAAATGTCACGGAGTGAGTGGTTCTTGTAACATGAAAACGTGCTGGATGCAGTTGCCGACTATGCGACAAATGGGAGCTGTTTTATTGGGGAAATATCATACTGCGAGACGGATTCAAGTGATAAATGATTTTAAAATATAGCCTTATTTTTATTGGAGATATTTTAGTTTAATTATTTAATGCTATAAAAGAAGAATTTTGTAGATTAATGCACGCGGCAATATGCAAATTAAAAGTCAACCAGGAAAAAGAGATCGAGAGAGAGGTGGAGGACGGAAAAATCGTGCTTTACAAACTGAACTTGTTTTTCTGGATGACAGTCCTGATTATTGTATCGAAAACAGAGCACAAGGAACAGTGGGTACCACAGGGCGAATATGCAGGTTCTTTTTCCTATAACTACTTTAGAATTAAGTTTTATTGCACTCGAATTCGGATCAGTTCTTGCCATCAATGATAAGAAAAGCACGAATATCTCAGTAGAAATAAATTCCACAGACCATACTTTTTTCTCTAAATGAATGGTACAGTTATGACTACTGGACGAAAAAATAGGTCAAAACGTGGTTAAAGCATTGGTATTAAGATTACTTCCAGTTAGGCGTATGATACAGTTGTTGGAAATGGATATGTTCTTATCCAACAGAGATGGACTGATAGTACGCTGGTTAATTCGGTGTGAAGATGGTTCTAAAGCCATATTTTGATGTAATCTTCCTCCTCATATTTCCTTCTTTAACCTTTTTTTCCTTTTTTGTTTCAGAAAAGGTTCGCATGGTCCCGAAAGTTGCGACTTTCTGTGTTGCGGTCGTGGATATAATAGTTATACAAAAGAAACGGAAACAAAATGCAAATGTAAGTTTCAGTGGTGTTGCAGAGTGGTATGTCAGACATGTGTCAATCAGACACAGGTGGATATTTGTAAATAATTCAAGGAGACAAATCGTTTTACTGCTTCCTTACTCATCCTTCAATGAAGCATGTTTCTTCATTTTAGCTCTGGGATTTTGTAGGAAATATTGTTTGTACCACAATTACTTTTATGATATTCACTATTACGTAGCTTTAAACGTTGTGGAAACTCCCTTTAATTTCAACATTCCACGTATGTTAGCTGATAATTTCCAATGCTTTTTCATGTTTTTGGATAGGACTTTTCGGGCTTAAGTAAAAGTTTTCTCATTTTAAATCTGCACATATGTACTTCTTTTGAATTTAAAATATCATTTTGATATGAATAGACCGCAAGCGTTTTAACCTTCTTATATAATCTACACAGCATTCCACTGCCCTCTTTCTTGTCAGTTTCCCAGAATTTTGCATTTTATTGATTTGTTTGCTATTGTATATGCTTCAGCAGCTTGGTATTTAGTACTGTAGACACGCTTTCAAACGTCGACACCTCTAATCATTACCTTTTAAGGTCGCGCAAACTTTTTAACTCGTTATCTTTTTATTCTTCTATCACAAAAAATTTTCACTGCTTAATGGATTTTTTTCAATTGCTTGAATTGAAAATCGATTGAGAGAGGTTGACTTCAAGTGAATCTAAAATGTAGTTCAAAATTCGTTTGTCGTGTAAATGCTTTTTCATCGACCTCTTAGTCATCAGCGTTGTATAATGTTACCTCACTCATTTCATGTGTTTTTTAATCATGGACTGTATTGCAAAAGAGCTATGTATTGGTGAACCAAAAAATGTTCAGAATTTTTGTGAATTTCATAAAAAGTTTTGAGTTTGCTATCGAATACAAGTTTTGATGCATCTTTGCGGTAAAAATATAGGTGGAATTATGCTTAATGTTTTTGAAAAAATCAGAAAAATTCACTGAAGACTGAACAATCTTTTTGGCCAGTTTAGAAAAGTGTGATGATTAAAGTTTGCTGCAAACATATTATTAGTAGTACTAAATAAGCTTGTGATCGGCTTTGTATTAACACTGAAAGAGCTGTAGGTTAAAAATTTTCATTTTAAATCATTGTATTTAAATACGAAGCCGACATACTGATGCATACATACATACATTGCCTTTGCTTTGATCACTTCATTTTTGTATTTGACCGTAGTATTTATCCGAATCTCAGTGATGTCATTTAGTAGACTTGCTTTGTTGCGAACTTGTAGGCTTGGAATGTTTCGATGATGATGGTAGGGAAGGAAATTGGCGAATAACACTGAGGAGAGGTATTGTTTCAAAAAAAAAAAAACAATGAAGGTGCCATTTTCTCTTTCCATTGACTGCAGGTGTGCTACAGTTTTTTAGTTGGAAACTGAAGCATACATACAACAGGTAATGATAATTATAATATAGTTAATATCAAATAACTTTGAAGTAGTAGTTTGATTGAAGTCCAGTATTTCGGAATCTGAAGTACCCTTCATTATTTTTCCTTATTAAAAGCAAAGGCTCTGTAAACTCATTGTGATCTGTGGTTGTCAAAATACAGTTTTTGTATAGCGTTGCTTATGCCATAAGTATGTAATGAAATATTTATTGCCTTTGTTTCTAGTCATTTGTTTACTATTCATATTTAGTATCTCACGTGTTCCACTTCATTTACTGATCACTTCTTAATAGGAAAGAAATAGTATTGACATTTTTTGAGTTATTCAGTTTTTTTTTTCTTTTCGAATTAAAAAAAAAGTGTCAGCATGTGGTTGAAAAATCACTGTTTTTGATTAGTTGTGAATTAAACTTTTTCAGGTAATTCCAAGGCACATCAAGGTACGTAGCTTTTTTTGATTATACATTGTATCTATTACTTATGTTAATTGAGTTCATTTTTTCTGCACTTTTTTTTCACTCCTTGGATTTTCAGGATATCTTAAAAATTGTGAATATACCGTACGGCCGCTCTGGACGTTTGATGGCTCAAGATCAGATTTTTTTTTTCTCTAGATTAATAGGACATTATTTAGATGCTCCGTTCGCAATATCGTCACTTAAATTTGAAAAAATTTATTGTAGAAGGCAGCCATTCAATTCCAGTCTGTGTTTCAGGAAATAATTGTTACCTGAGGATATTTGATTACTGAATTATAGCCAATTTGATATATAATTTCCGATATTATGTAAATTGGATTTGTTGGAGAAAATTAGAATTTACTGCTGTTGACAAAACAAACAGTGAACATGTTGGTGAATTTTCAGATGTTTAATGTGCTAAAGAAATTTTTTTAATTAAAGAAAGTTTAGTTTTTGTAATAGCCAGCTATTTTAAGTGGTCACTGAAGGTGGGAGTGAGCGTAAGTGTATATGTATGTGCATTTTAAATACTGAAGTTTTTGGAAAGTATGCCATCATTCTAGTGCTGCTTGGCCACTTTATGTAGATATTTGCTGTGTTTTGGTAGCCTAGATGTTATTGAAAAGCTTTGTTCCAGTAAGATCAAGAAGACGTATAGTGATGACATTGCATACTTTTGCGTTGCAATTAGTTCTTCCAAGTTGCATATCTGTTGCTAATGACAAACAACACTACTTTCGTCAAGTTGCATATTTGTTGTCAATCAAAACTAAAGTAATCAAAATGGTTTATAGTAAGGAACCACACAATTTATCTTAGACACAAAATCATGTTTCCTTTTTTCCCAAATTTTTTGAATGCTTCAAAGTTCACTGTAATGAGTTACCAATTAGTGCTGATTTATCATTATTTGCGGTCTGTATTTCGATGTGTAATTGAATGACCAGATCCCCGCAGCGTAGGTTTAATTTGCATAAATTTAGTTTGACTTATTTTAAAGAGCACATAAGGCCAAGTACGTCGAGAAAGAGGTTAAAACAGCTATGTTAATTTTATTGACCATATGTCAAGGTCGAAAGAGAGCTCTTCAAATGGATGATTTACAACAAGAATGGCGGCTCATTAAGGAAACCTTCCTTTCTCTCCCTTTATCAGCAACACTACCCTCACTTTTATCCTTCAGGAAACTCATGTAGCTCATTAGCACGGTAGATCCCCTTTTCTTCTCCCTTGTTCTTGATCCCTTTAATATTCTACTGTAGGGTCATTTATTTATTCATTTAGCCAACCAAGGTGAGAACTCAAGATGATCTTTGTTGTGCAAACACACACAAGTCCTTCACCAAGCGTCGTGTAATAACGAATTTAAAGGAGACAGATCTACCTTACCCTTGCCTCTATCGATTAAGGCAAATTCATTAAGGGAAGATTCCATGAATTTTATCGGTTCTATTCAGCACTCAGGTTGGAATTCTGCACTGCTACCGATCAGAAAGCAATGAAAATTCATTTCAGCAATTTCCGTAGTCGATCAAACCTTACCTGCTGAAGATTTTTTACTCGGAATAAAACAACCACGAATTGTGGATTTAAAAAGTGTTCCAGTACAAGTTTTAAGTTATTCAGGCTAAATAGTTTTCTGCAATTTGCTCTCGCTTAATTCAACATCTGCGAAACTTTGTCCTCCCAAAATTTATGTCACAAACAGGGGACGAGTTATCAAAATTACAAAACCGGATAGCCGCAAATACATACGCCGCCACATCCATAAACTCGCATTTAGGGTGTATATAAGTTACTAATGAATTGGATCCCACAAATAGGAGCAAATCCAATGCAATTTGTTACAAAGTCTTTTGAAAAATTCTAGAACTTTGCAGAGAAGCTGGTGTAGACATTGCCCACTGAATTTTTCACTTGGCTACAACGACAAAAAATTATAATTCGGTCTAGATTAACGCACTTCATAACTGTGGTGCGTTAATCTGCTAAATCCAGAGTGGGACTCGAGCTTAATGTCCGATCCGAGTGAGTGACTTCCTATGAACGACATCAAAGAAATGCTTAATACTTGCTGAATTTTGCTATACATCTCAATGATTGTTCCCACAATGCTTTTAAAACCAGCTGTATTATTAATGCTGATATCACGAAATTGCAATTATTAATTTTGCAAATTGTATACTCAAAACGCTGTAAAGGAAAACTTGAAGGTACTTAAACCGTATGAACACTTATGTCATCTTTGTTAATCCATTTCCGGATCTAACGCTTATTTTGAATCTTGAAACTTCAAGTAAAACCATGTACTATCTATCTATCTCACACTATGCACGAGAAACAAAACGTTCTGTAACAAGTGCTTAATTCATCACCATACCATCTACTCAAACTTTACTTTAGCAAAAAACACATTAAAGCCTAGCATGATCAGAACAGCAAAAATTGAAACGTTCCCATCTCAACAGCCAATACGGGAAGACTTAACTAAACGTTAATGAAGCTCCACTTCACTCAAAAGTAATTAGGAAATTTCAATCATCCACCAGTCTAATGGATATACTAAAAAAAGATGGTGGTAGTTCAAACATTGCATATTGAAACAAAACAACTTGACAAGCAAGTGAAATTTAGGAAACATAAGTCTTAAGAAAAGTTGACAGAAACTGTCAGACTAGAAAACGAAAAACCAAATTGTTACTAGTTAAATGTCAAAAAATATCCCTCAATAAATGAGTTGGGAAGCAATTCAGAAGCAAACAAATTAGGATATCGCTTTTTATAGACTGAACGTTAATGAAACTGTTGTATATCAAAAAAAACAAGTTTACTCCGGATTCTCGCCATCATTTTGAGTTTTTTTAGACCATTAACCAGAAATTCATCAACGGAATTATTCAACAATTGAAGTGATTTTAAATACGCATCTATGTTTTTCTTATCAAATAATCACGTGAGGTATGTAAGGACTGCACAAAAAAAAAAAAAAAAAAAAAAAAAAAAAAAAAAACTAAAATCTTTTTTTACATCGAAGCACCGGTGGTGGAGATCGAAGCATCATGACCAAAAAGCAATAATTGCACAACGACAACGACAAGAAATGGTTACTTTTGGATCACTGATACAAATCACTGTTGTGTTACTGAAGATTATGACAATTGGAAGCATAATAAATCTACATTTATCGAGTAGTTTAAATCAAATTGCAATGGACATTTCGCTTCCACACAAACAAAATCTCCCTATTTCAAGCCAAAGAGCCCTAAACAGGTTTTGACATCTTTGACAATTAAAAAGGTAGAGGACATACAATTCTTCAAATTAAAATCGAATTTTAATTAGAAATCTCTAAATGAAGGATGCAAGTCATCAATGAAAATTGGTACTAGACTTAAACAGTAAGTGACTTTGTACCCAAAAGTACAACAGAACTAAGCGAAACAAGGACAACAATTCTATATTTCTAGCACCGTATATTAATTAACAGCTTCATAGCTCATGCAAATCACAACTTACAAATTTAAAAAATACTGTAATTTCCAAAAAGATTCATTTTTCATGAAAAATTGTAGATAAAAATCATTGAAAAAGCTATCAAGTTCCATAAGATCTTAAAATCTCACCACAAAATTGAAAGTGAGCCATGTACTCCTGCACTAAATGTGTATAAGTTCATTAGATCAAATCCATTAGTCTCTATAAGGCTTGCAATATGAATAACGGTGATTCATATGCTGAGAATAGCTGCCTGAATGGCTAAATCGCTTCAAACATTTGTCACACTGAAAATTATTAATTTTGCTTAAATATTATTTAAATTATTCACCGAAAGTTTTCCTCATAGAGAGTTTGATACGACTGAATGATAAAAACTTCCAATGTTGTTTATCACATCTTTCTTAAGCAACTATATGAACTGAAAACCATTTCTAGTCAAAACTAGAAATGTTTAAACCCCCGTTTTTAGTAAAAAAAACGGACATTAAAAATTCTAGTATATTTGCGATATTTTGAAATACAAAAAAAAAAAAAACACACACACACACACACAAAAAGGAACCCACCTGGAAAGGTTTTTCACCCGAATGCAATCTTTTATGCTCAGTAAGATGGTGCTTGTGTTTGAATGCCTTCTCGCATACGTCACATTTGTAGGGACGCTGTCCTTTATAAAAAATCATTTTCAATTAACAGAAAATTCAAGATAATGATTTTCTCGATTATAGTCCGAAATATTAGTCATCCAACAAATCATAAAATACAATTTAGTATTTGTGCTCAAGTTGAGAAATAAATTTGTGCAATCAGTGGAGCATGGCTTACAATTTCATCAGTTTTTTGGTAGCAACCAAACAACCTATAATTTACTCACAATTTAGATTCCTATTCCACTGAATTCTTATTAACAAACCAGAATGCTCATATTTGTGCCTTGCCAATGAACTCTGCTTTCCGAACATTTTATCGCACTGATCGCATGCATAGAGACCATCTTCATCAGTTCGATGTGATTTCCAATTTAAACGATGACGTTTCTCACCCGATGAAATGTCTGACGCATTGTCATCATTATCATCACTTTGCTTAAATTTGGTAGCTTCAGATTTTGTTAACCAATCTGTTGAAATACGAAATTTCACCAACAACTGCTTTAACACTATGTGGTGATGTGAAATACTTAATCTCATATTACCTGACAGCATTAAACCTGCATAGGAAATAAAGGTGTAGTGCACATCTAATTTCGCATTAGAAACCGAAGTCCGTTTCGCAACACAAACGAATTAGCGAAATTACACGAAATTACAAAGACCTTATAAAAAGTCTTACAAAATTTATAGAAAAGAAGAGGTAAATTACCTCGAGAACTTTCTGAAGACCTGTTAAACCATTAATACCCAACATTGAGTACTGTGACATGAGCACACTGCTGGGCCAAATACTTGATGACAGTGGAGCAGTCGAATTATCATCTAGCAAACCAGCTTCTGAATTTGACTCACCTTCTGAATGAGATCTAGAAACCGAAGAAAGTACTGTTGGTGGAGTCTCCGAATGACCCTTTGCAACTTGCAGCAACGTCCCACGTACCGTCTCACTTCCTTCTGGAATAAGTCCTGAATTATTTGGAGGTTTTAATGAAATATAAATAACTCTCTTATGAATCTATTTAGACGTTCTGTACTTTTGGATAGTTTTGTTTTCACACCAAATTTTGTAATTTATTATACAGCACAGATGAGAGAGAATTTTAATTTTGTTGGGCTTATACCATACTTAATCTCACACGAAAACCGAACCAATGAGACTGCTAGCAGACCAGCAATCGTCCTGATTAAAGTCCTGTCTTCCTTCATTTCCTTCAACTCCAAAAACAGATGTTTGTTCAGTCGGAACTGCTGCTACTACAGCTGTTTCATCCTTAACTGATAAATCGAGTGGTATATCACGAGCAGCATCCAGAGATTCACTTGACAATAAATTAGTTTTCGCTGTCTGCTCATCCTGACACATAATTGTGTTAAATTAAATTTGAAATAAAGCGCCATTTATTCATACAATGAAATAGTAACATCCAAATGTTTTAATGCCAGTGATTCGAAACTTCTATCCATTATAGGTATTCAAAAGTTAACATAAATATATCTTTAAAATAATAAACATACATTCAAGGTATATAAAATGAAAGTTATTTCAAATCTAACAAACACCATGAAGACAACTTAAAATAAAGATGAAATAAACTGAAACAAAAATAAAAACCAAACAATTTAAGGTTGCTGTACGATGTAAACTGACAATTCTTTACCGATAGGCTGTTGTTCACAAGACCGGTACACTGCTGTGCCCAAGCAGCCATCAAACTTAAAGGATCGTGAGCAGCTGCTACGGCTGTAGCAGCAGTTTGAAATGATATAGCATTATTCCACATGGAACGCGAGTATCGTTCACAGGCTACACTTAATCGATTACTTCGCCGTTCCTTCGCTCGAGTATTTTGAAACCATACCTGCAGAAAACAAAACAGTGAGCAAAACAAATTTCAAATAAGGATAATGCGAAGGAATATGATTAGATTTCATTCAAGAAGCGGCAGGATAGAAAAGGTGTCCTGAAAATGGGCGTAGTAGTATGCGTAGTAGTAAGTGAAGGATTACAGCAAACGGCGTTTCGCTAATAATCACAGATAATAATCATCTTTTGTTAATTAATGACGAATCCACTACAGTAACATAACCAAAAGCTGTTCATAGACCGTTTAGCTATGCTTAAGGTTTCCTATTTTTCTCACACTTATAATCCAAACAGAATTTTTTCAAGTGAAAATAAGCATGGAATCAGCGTCCAGACCTTCTCTCAGCTGTAAGCTTAGCAGAGAATACAGACCCTAAATTCCCAAAAACAACAAGCAAAATCCTTAATACAGCACTTTCCATTACAGTTCAGCAAAAATATATATATTTGCAAAATTTGCTTTAGCTTTTATTTGTGTTTGAACTTCCTGAATGACTTTGATTTCATTTCCGAGTCTTGAACAATAAGCAGACAATATACCAATCATAGCTTGTAAAAAAACCAACACAAATTAGGAAACAATCAACTAAAAATGAACAAACCTGCACTACTCTTTTATTGACTCCTATTTGCTCGGCAACAGCAGAAAGTTCATACTTCGATGGAAATGGGTTACGTTTGAAGTGAGCATGGAGAATAGCGACTTGAGCATCGGTAAGAAATGAACGAGACCGTAAGGGCTTCCAGGTGGCACCAGTGCCAACAATACAAGAATTTGGTAAATCAGATCTACTTTGCGCTTCTCGCTGCTCGGCGCTCTCACCAGAGGAACGCGACTTTTCCAGATCATCATGGTGTGCAGCATCATCCTGGCCAGTTTTTCCGTTTTTAACACATGAACTCTTCAAGAGTGTACCATTCTCGATACCAATTTTATTATACGCGTTTGTAAAATCTGTTCCTTCTACGGTGCAATTACTATTGCTCAAATGACGTGCCCAATAGTTCGTCGGCAATGCCGATGGCGATGCTGACGAAGCAGTACTACTCGCTGCCTTGAAATAATTTTAAAAAAAGATTTTTCCTTTTAAATATAACTGGAGTAACTACAAATAAAAAATACTGATGGATTGACTGCTTCAATTATTATTAATTTTTTATTCATCACTATTAATAATAGTAAATAATAATAATATTGCAATAATAATAATAGTAATAATATACATATAGATTTGAAAAATGGAGCGAAATAAATTCGGCGAAGAAAATCTTTAAAAAATCAGTAATAATATGAGTGATAAAAAGGATATTTATGAAATGTCCTGATAAATACTGTGGTGTATGCTGTAGTCTTTAAAGGATTGGAGAGACTGTAATGTAAATGACGGGAAGTGAAAAGGAGATATAGTTCATCGTTCCTGAATGGTGTTCAGAACATCTGTGTGAATAAGGCTTCCCAATGCTCTTTTGTGATACAACGTAATGAAGAGCGCAGAATACATTCCTCTCTCTCTCTCTCTCTCTCTCTCTCTCTCTCTCTCTGTCCTGCTTTTATTTTCTCCATCCCTTCATCACTTGCACTTCAACTGCTATCAACAAGGCCTTCAAATTACCTAGCTATCCCACATGTAGTTTATCTTACATGAAGCAAACTCTGAGTAGTTTTGCAACAAATCATCAACGCACCGATCCTCCTCGTCAAAGAAATAAATTTTCCTTATGATACATATCCTGATGTAAATCTAATTTGACTTTCCAGGCTAAAGTTTATATGAATAATCAAAACAAGGAATACCTGTAGAAACTGCTGCTGCAATAAGGCAGTATAAGGTCCAATATTTGAATATGCAAAATTATGTGCTGTTTGGAACTGCAACAAAAGTGCTCGGTAAAGTACCATTTGGTCACCGAACTCAAATGCTGTTGATGAAGCCTGTGTTGCAGCTGCTGTACATTTCTTGCTACTCATATGGGATGAATACGAACCCGAATGTGAAAATCGCTTTTGACAATGTGGGCACTGCAATGGATATTTTATACTATAAATTATAAGTACATAACTTAAAAATATTTAATAAAGCCGTGTGATGCTTATATATTCGAAACAATAGGGATTAAATTCCAATTTTCCAACTCAACAAATTCCCAACTTAAGTTTCATTCATTGTTAGTGCTTACTTTCTCAAACAGATCTCGTAACAATACCAGATATGAATCGGAGTTATGAGGTAAAAAGAGATAAAAATTGTAAGTATATATGACAACTGCATATGATAAACATCATTAAATATTTGCAACGCATCATGACAATGAAAGCAAAGGAAGCTTACAAAATGCTGCGATAAAACAGATGCAAACTGGAATAAAGCTTTAAATTGAATAAAAGACTTCATATATTTCCAGCTTTAAACACGAAACTGACAAAAATTGCTTTAAAACTGCTTATTCATACTTTCTTATTATTGTAATAACTCACTCATTACATATAATGGTATCGTCGTTTAGCAGCAAAAAGAGGGAGATTGGAGGAACACAAAAATATTTTATAATGATATAATTTGAATAAATGAACTACAAAGTAAACACAATGGATGATGCATGACCAAAAATTCGTGTATGTTTGCCTTGGGTCTACAAAAAAAAAGGTCATTAACAATCTTGTGGAAAAAAATGATCACAGCAAGAGCAAGCTGACAAACACAGCATATAACAAAGCACACAAAAACGGATGAGAATAAAGCAGTGGGAATTTTGGGAAGCTTCCTAAATACTAAATAAAAAAAAAAGAAGTAAATACAAATAAAAAAGAAAGGTTACATTGCGAAGTAAACCTTGCGAAGTGATGAAAAATGGAATCAGTCTCAGCAAATAATACCTGGTAACATGCTTTGAATATAAAAACTTTTGTTGTTCAATTTGCTCAATTTTATTAACTTCGCAATTATAAGCCGAACACCGTGTAATGTACGGGATTTGTTCCTCTAGTGTTTTGCATATATAAATTATCTCATTAATATTATTTCTGGTTATTATTTTGATGTGTTTAATTACGGAGACCAACAAGTGACAGCGTTTATTCAAAACCATGATGCACCACCACCATACCTCAGTAACACTATTTTTATTTCAGTACAGCGACAAGGTACCAGTATGAAGTCGATCAATAAGGAATGCAATGAATATTAACAATTATCACCAATAAGTTTCCATTACCAACGTTAAAACTGCTGAACGAAGATTAAAAAAATAAATTGACCTTTATATAAAATAAGTAAAACGAATTAGAAATTAAATCGAATTCTGCATCGAATATGAAACTATCGCAACGATCAGCATTATCTTTAACAGAGGAAAAAGTTCAAAAGGTACGGTAACTAGGATAGATCATGCATAGAAAACGTAAATGAAAAAATTGAGAGCATATGGGCACACACCTGCTCAACATGTTACTATACCTTTATTACGTACACGATAATTGCTGTTTAAGCAATAGAAGTGGTTAAATGGTGTAACAGTTATACGGTAACAAGTATCCTGATCGGACCTTAGTAATCCTAAATCCACACTCTACAGTCGCTTAGTTCTTGAAAACTAGTCTGCATGTCTAGTTTATTAGTAATAGCATCTACATCAAAAAGCAGATACAAATGTATAAAACAACAAATACGCAGTTTTAACAGTCTATCGCGATTTTATTAAACAGTAAATGATCAATTTATTTATATAGCAAATATATGCATTATGTTCTTCCATTACAAAAAGCGTACGAATGAGTAATACGTCAGCATTCGAATACAAAACGAATTCAATACCACTTATAAATCCCAGAACTTCAAATAAATATTGAATGATACACATGAAAAGTAGTTAAAAGATGGAACGCTTTATAAAGTTTTGGGAAATTTTTATAGGGCAAGGAAAAAAGATATATGTTTCTATATATAAGGAGCGAGGAAGGAAGAACTGGAGGAGTAGAACACGGGTAGAGGGAAAAGGGGAAAAATCGGGAAGTTTTAACGGGAACGAGCTTGCTTCATTGATCCCGAACAGGTGTTCCTTCTTTTTTCACCTCCCAAAGCAGACATATATATATATATATACCTTTATAACCTGTTTGTTTGTAGGATACCTTCTGCCCTCCATTACCACATCGTCAGAAATCAAAAAGGGGTGATATCTCTTATCGTTTTAAAAAGAGTTTAAAATGATCAGTAACAGCAATAAGAAAAGGCTTGGAAAGTCATGTTTATGGATAAAAACAAGTAAAGTTTGTATTTCTTATTTTCAATTGAAAATTCGTCATGCGATCAACTGCACATTGATAAAAACTAAAAAGCAACTCATATGATAGATAAAAAAACCACATTAACAAAATCACGAAAAGATATTTCATAATTCCGGTCATCAAAAACTGCATCAAAATTAACAGGAAAATTCTAATCCACAGCGTTTTCTCGAGTGGTGTAAAATCGTGTCAAAATTTGTCACAATACTGTGTAATATTATTTGAGGTGGGAATTTTCTTGCAAATGTATTATAACAGTCTAAGTCTCCCATATTGCTTTACATTCACTCCTAATTATACATTCGTTATTTTTCTTTTAAAAGGTTTACACAAATAAAAAGTAGAGTGTATAAAGGAGATTAAAATGATATATAGAGACATACACAAAAATGAAGAAACACCTGGAGACCTTCTGTTACAACATCATACATCATGTTACATCGTTACATCATTTCGAGTCTACGTTACTGAAAGTTAAGCCTAACAAAGATTTATAACAATGAATCTAGTAAATAAAACCAGTAAACCACCTACGGCATGCCGTGCTTGCCAGGGATTCTTGAAAATGGCTGATTTAAAAACTACCGATTATAGGATGGAAAATTATGTACCTAAAACAAATTTTCATCTGTGCGTATGTGAACTTTGATCCTGTAGCAGTGTCTAATAATCATGTATATAATTGTAATCATGGACCTAAATTTCAGAGTGGCGGCTAAGAAACATAACGCGACACTATAAATTTGCATCTGAAGGTATGACTGACATATAACATGGACAGCTAATGTGACAACTAATTATCTATTGCATATGCTCAATTTCATAGGACCATAATATCTACAGATTTGCCGTCGTGCAACCCCACTACAATTTTTTTATGAACACCATTATTAAAAATATTGCTGATCTCTCTTAAAGATATCTAAAAATCGTACTAGACTTCTACCAGTCATCTGTTCCGTGAAGTTTTATCGTCCTACAAAAATTTAAAACTTATGCCACAAATATTTCTAAAAAGTATGGGTATGACAATTAATGCCCAGAATTTACAAAAGGGATGAGATAAAAGGTACTGCAACTTGGCATCCCACTATAAATACATAACTGCTATTGGTTGCACAAATATACAAATATTATCCATCGTTAATTTTTCACTTAATCAAAAACCATAGTTTAGCTGCAATGAAATTAACTACCTTGTTTCATATTTTCAAATGCATTCTAAAATGTATTTGATATATTCATACGAACGGAAAAACAAGACAAAGAACGCTTTAAATTAACATAGTAAGTTATCACTGCTGTACCTGTGCTATTATACCAAGTATATACAAACAACCCGCCTAGTTCTACAGATTTGCTTCAGACGATTAATCTGCTGCTTCAATGAAATATTTCTACTTGCTCTGCTTGATCTAAAATATACAAGACTTAAAGATTCAATTAACTTCCACGACCCTATTCTACGAACATAAATCAATTGACCCCAACTAAATAAATCGCGAATCCGTAAAGAATACATATAATCCTATGTTAATTGATTTAATTATTAAATTGCGAAACAAGTGTTATGATGTTATGAAAACTATCTGATTAATCCAGCTCTACACGAACAATGCTGTAGGGCAAACAGATTTCAAATCGGTATGAATTTTTTTTCCATATATACAAAAGAAAATATAAGCAGAAAATCTTGAGGAAAACCGGTCAACTAGTTACCGAAAATAGAGCATCAGATATATGATGCAAGAGAACTAAGCATATGCATTATTTATTACAAATCAAATACACACTACCAACAAAACATCGAGTATTTTTTCTCAATAAAAACAAAATATGAGGAGGTATCAGTACAGATTATAAAAATCTTGGTAAAACACTTCAGTAAATTGTGTGATAGAATAATGAATGTAAGTCTCATTGTAATCAGATATTCGAGTACTACTTATGAACAGAGAAGAATTATCTTTGTATGGAAAGTGTTTAAACAGCTTCGAAATGATAAAGGAAAAGTTTTAAGAGGAACTGTGAAGTGCAAACCTGGAAGGGCTTTTCACCACTGTGAATTCGGATGTGCTCCTTGAGATGATGCTTGAATTTAAATGCTTTCGGGCATTCTGAGCACTTAAATTTCCGCAGTGCTTCATCGGAACATTGCACAGTGGCTTTTAGACGCTCACCAACGTAAACGGTGTTGGATGTTCCTGCTACGGTGGAGTCTTTCGCTGTATCCAAAACACCGAGCATCTTCCTATTGCTTTTTATGCAACTAATGATTCTAGCACTTCCGCAGTTCGTCTTCTACGATCACATACCATAGATACAATACTGTAATTAGTTAAACTTACATAATGTACAAAAATGTGAATCATATAAGAAATCGGTCGAAGTACACAATAAACGATCAGTTCGACAATGAAAAAAACATGCATACTCAAAATGATTATTCCTCAGCGACTGTCTGATTTAGCAAACTGATCATTTAATTACAGTGGATATTGAAAAATGATAAGCACTGATTTAAAAAGATATCTGACATTAATACTGTGATTCTAAAAAGACTGTCAGATTCTTTATGTACACATCTCCTGTCACTGACTCACAATATCAAACAATTCCAAACAATCCGGTTTTGTCCATTTTTTTGGCATGGAAGACAAAAAATGCATATGCATTCTCTAGCTCCATTCAAGCAAACCAAATCATTGTTAAGTACAATAATATCTACCTCAGTTTATCTGTTTTTTTCAAATGTTAGAAAAATTTTCCTAGCAGTTCATTTTCTAAGTAATTTAAAAACACGTACCAGACGTGCAACATGGAACTCGCGTCAACAGTTGAATTCAGCGTCTTCTGTAACTTTGATGAATCTAGCACTGAAATAACATCTAAAATGAGGAAGCGTATGAGAGAGAGAGAAGTTGGAAAGCAAACAAGTAAGCTGCGACGTTAATAAGTATTTTCATTAGGAATGAAAGGGAAGCAGGAAGCATCTACACAAACATACACAGGTGTTCTGTTTATAATGTTTCGAAAAATTAGTCGCACAAAGGATGTAGTGGATTGAGAAAACAACTGTCAAACATGATCTTATTTCAACAGCACCTGAGAAATTGATCTCCACAATCCCGTAACTATCCCGACATACTGTTAAAGATATAGGTGAACAAAATACTCACTTCGTCTCTTTGCTACTGCAATATAATTTCACCAAATGAATGCAAAATTCGAGCAATTGATTGCACTCGTGTAATTTACCTGATGAACTGTAATAACCATAAGCATCGGTAGTGTTCAAAACAACAAAAAAAAAAGTATCTGATATTATTTTAGATGCTGATAGAGATGAATAATGGTGGTATGGTAGTGAGGATAGTTAAAGTCATTTTAAGAAAAAAAGTGTAAAAAAAAATACGAGGATAAGAATGAATGCAGTGCAATATTTTGCAGAAGCTGTTCCGAAGCTTGAAAGAAAAGGTTTTCATCACGTGACCCGGAAATGCAAAAGCGTTTAGTGAAGGAAAGGAAAAGTAATGCGCTGGAACAGCTATAACTTTGTTTTATCGAAAGTTTGGTATGTGTGTTATTGAGATCTAAGGCTGAAAGGATATAGCGTCATCGCCTGAAGGAATCTATAAAAGTACTTACCACTGATTGCCCTATTCGGTTTATAGTTCCAGTATATCCCTCTATTGCGTATTACTTTTATAAATATACCGAATGACCCATCATCCAATCTACAACAACTTACTGACTAATTCAACTACCGAAAGACCATTCAACTAAGTGACTGACTAATTCTTTAACATCATTATATTTATTAGTGATCAAGATTCCACACAACTGTTCCTTTATAGAGAGTGTACAAGCAGCACTAATTGATCAGTGCGGAAGTGTGGCAGTATATGTATCTTGAAAACTCTAGGAGAAGTGACGGCAGCGGAACGTCTCTTTAATAACCTAAACTAATCAACGAGTAGAATGAACAGAGCAGTTTGACATACACCGAGTAGTTCGCCAAACTTCTTTCAAAAGGTCTACGCATGGATGTGCATGACCTGCAACTACATTACAATCAAAAGAGTTGTTATCCGGAGTGATTCTTTGGAAACCATTACAGGCCTGGAAATTAAATTTACAGTTCATTTAAAAACCAATAAGAGAAAGTTTTATAAGAGAAAGTTAAGAGAAAGTTTTATAATGCTGAGCAAGTGGTGGCTTATAGTTTGGGTTATAGTTACCAAAGCTGGGAAAGAGGTAAGTTGTAGTGATTTACATCTTTAATTGCGACCAGTTAAGTTCAGTAAGCATTTGCCTTCCGTGGAACGGGATAATTACATGTTCAGATTTCGTTTTGCTAAATATGGACTAAAAGCTCATAATCAGTAGAAATAAAAAAATAGTGAAATAAATAGCAATGGAAAATGTTTATTACATTGGCAGTTGAAAGCAAATACCAGGGAATAGTAAACGAATACAACACTAGTGTTTCAGTCCCCTAGATTTAGCACTGAGGATGCACAGCTTAATAAGACAAGAAGAAAATGTTATTTTATAAGCACCTTCCTCGTATCAATTGAAAAACCGAAACGTGCTAATGCCAAACGCTTATTCAAATTGGATTATGCAGCACTTTATCTAGAAGAAATCGTTAGAATAGAAAGACATTGTTGCAGAATATTCTCGCTTTATCAAAGTCGATCCGTGATGACAGAACTAATTTTTCTGATTTTTTTAAATGGTTCCTTTATTATCGATTGGAATAATCCGGCTGATGAACTGGAACAAACAGTACCTCGAAAGGCTTTCCTTAAGTGTACAAACCGGTTATTTTATAAAGCGTCTATTACAAGTTAAGATTAAACAGAGGGTCTTAGCTTTATGACAGTTAAATACGTATGTAAAGAAAAAAGAAGTATGCAGTGCACAGATAGAATTACAGCCTCAAGAACATGGACGTGACGGAAATGCCTCGTTTTGATGAAGCAGCAAAAAGGATGAAACGATAAGGGAGATGAGTGGGAGGTGATGATTTAACGATAGGTGGAGTAGAAGGTAAGGCGCTCCAGCAGACCGAACAGGACGATTGAGACATTAAGTAATTGGATAAGAGTGATGAGGTATAGTAGCGCCAGAGACAGGCCAGCCAAAATGGATTAGTTTGAACCCATCTGTCCTGCTGCCTTCGTTTCTTCCTCCTTCCTCCCCAATTGAATGCTATTACTATGCTTCAAATCATCCTTCAACAGCAGCCTTATCCTCCTTCCAAAATATTTCCTATACCTACTGCAGAACCCTTCCCAGCTTTATTGACGGGTCGACAACTAATTTCTGGCTTTACCGTTCCCGTACTAGTGATTTAGCGTGATTCAAACTATACATATCATATTTCATTTAGAAGTACTACTCATTTTCAAAGTATACCGTACATGAACTGCGATAAAGGATAATCATCACAAGCCTTAACTTTCTCCATTCTCCATTACAAATATCCCGTGACACTGAAAAGCGATCCATGATGCCAAATCTCTTTCTAGTTTACACGTATGGTCTTCAAACATGCAGAATATTGTAAAACGCATGGGACTTTAACGCTATAGAGCGAGAATAAACAGTGGTTCTCATCACATAGTGCTACCGAGCATAATGAGAATGCAATATATATATTTCCACAGAAGTTTTCGGACTGTCAGTTGTTTCATTTCTTTTTTTTGAAATTGAATGATTCAATTGGGAAATGATATTTTTGTAAGGACCGATCTGTATACACCACTTGCAGTCGATTTCTTAAAAGTGCTACATAAGATGAAGTAAATGAAACCGATTGGAAAAACATTAGAGGTAAATCTTCGAGGTTATGGGCGGGGTGAAAGGGGAGGATGTTTGAGCAACAATACAGGTGCTCATCTGTATAATCCCACGGTCAATAGCAGATACAAAGGGCTGTAATCGAACAAGGAAACGAAAGAGGATAAGATATTTAGTGGCAATTAGGGAAGTGATGCTAAGGACGGGCGCATATATATACAGAAGTCTGCTGCAACTCTAAAGAATGAGAATCGGAACACAACAGGAGGAGAACACAACTGTGGAACAGATGGTCTCTTCTCCAGGAGAAAGGAGGTAAATGAAGGTCGTGAGCTCTATTTTGGGGGTTAACAAGCTTCTTTAACGGTCACTATCAATGTATAGCCAACAGAAGATGTCCAAAGATGACCCTCAGAAGTTCATGCGTTTTATATTCCTCTTATTTCCTATCTATTCTTGTTAGCTCTACTTTTCCCACTTCTGATACGCAAAACTTCGATAATCAAGAGCATATCTAAAACGAATGAACTTACCAGAGAGGACAGCAATTTTTAAGGTCACATTGTAGCACGACAACAAACTACTCAAATATTATAATTCATTAGATTCCCACGGCACAAGTGACGAAATCATTTACTGAAAAGACATCCAAACATTACCTATAGGTGTCATTATCTATAATTTATTACCCATGATACTGTCGTACTGCTAGTGGTAAGGTTAAATTAAATAATTAGAGTTGCTTCTCGGCTGAAAAAATAAACATCCAGTGAAAATCAGCTATGCCAATCAAAGCACTATGAGACTGACAAAATTAAGATTATCTATGCAAGACTATCTGTGGTACCACATGGAACTCTCAAAGTTCAGTTCACTGCTGCCTAAAATAATCCTAATTCGATTCCATCGGTTACTAATTTATCCACCCGTTTTTAATCAGTGAAGAACACAAATCGACAAACAGAAAAATTTCACCACTCGAACATCTTCAAAACATACGAAAAGAGACACTGTCATGTAATTCGCAAATTGAGAATCAGATATGACACCTTCTAACTTCTCAATCATATATAGCTGCAGGATATCGTTCCTGTAAGAGTTACCCAACAAAAACTCTCAGCAAAAATAACCTGAAAAACTTCCTCAATCAGAGAGAGATACGAAACTTGTCAGTTGACAATAACGACGGTAAAACTCGCTAAATTTAAATGCTTCAGTTTAAAAATATTCCTACCAAAATGAGACACTTTTTCTACCAGCCTACTACTTTACTGACAAGTGCGTTGTAATAAAGGAATTTTAAACAGTGAAACACTTAAAAGCGGTAAATTGTTTTCAGGCTTTCTCACCACAACATTCAGCTAGACAGATAAAGGCGCCCAGATGGCACAAATGGTGACATTTTAAGGAGACAAAGGAAACGGGTAGACTGATTAACT